AACTTTTTAATGTATCTAATCAATTACTCTATTTTATGTTAGTAACAGTTTTTATCCACCAATTGTGGATTAAGTCCACTTTTACATGCAACTTCTTTTTCTATTCTAAATTCCGTATTGGGACGAAAAGATCAGCACATGTTGCTATCTGACAACTATAGCACAACTAAACTGAAAACCACAGTTGCTCAACATGTCAAGTTCATTGTGCACTTGATACTCAACATTTTCATGTCCATTTAAAGTTCGTTTGGGTATGTTTTGGTGCACTGTTTCACTGTTGCGTTTTGTCACACACTCCTTTTGTCCAGGCAGCGCAATCCCAATGGACTAGGAGAAGAACCAAGAGGCTTGATTTTTTAAAATGGAGAGTTACATGGACAAAATCATTCAATCCAAACTTTGAAATGTTGAAAATGCGATGCATGAATACTATCCAATTTTCGGAAAGACCCTTGACCCAATTGGTCCCAAGCCAACAGTATCTCAGTTTTAGGGTCAGATAAGTTTGTGCTAATGGGGAAAGTTCACGACTTGCGGTAAGAGTTGTGTGGGTAAATATTGTGGTATACGTGTCATGGCAATAAGGAAAGGTCATGTTAACTATACATGCTCTGTGTGTAGAATTGGGGTCAAAGGGTCAGTATTGTTTATGCAAGGCCCATGGGGAAGACAAAAAACAGTTCCAGATTATTTATGTTAGGAAGAAGGAGTATAGTCTGTCTTACAGACCCTGATACAAATATATATCAAATACAGCCCATGCAAGTCTATAATGTTTGGCAAGTCTAGATCACTGCAGTATCAGTATCTGAAAATGAAGAGAGTCACTGGGCTCCTTTTTATTATATTTTTATTAAGATAACTGAACAACTGTTTTTTTATGTACGATATGTTCATTTCAGAGACTAGATTTTAGTCTAGAAGGAGTACCTCAGTGAGAGAAATAGATTGGGTAGAATTAATATTTCTTGATACAGAAAAAAATAATAATTAGAGATTGGTTCACATGTAATTATACTGTACAATGGCTTCTGTCATAGAGCTGAAAGCCTCGGCAAAACAGCGTGGTGACCTAAGAGGTTATTCATGAATGAACCGCTGAATTGATTACCTTACTTGGTCTGAACTACAACAAACCCCCGACAGTCAGAGAACTCAAAGCTCAGGCAAGAAGTCATGGGCTGAGAGGTTATTCTCGTATGAGAAAAGCTGAATTGATAGATTTACTGAATGACAACAACAAACCAGTTGTTACAAATGATGAACCTGTCGAGTTAAGATTTGTTCTCACACATCATGCTGTTGGGAAATATCTAAGATGTTGGAAGATGGATATTGATTCCAACAGGGATGTTACTGATGCTAAACTCTTTGTTTCGAGCAAAACTAATGAGGAGTTAGGTGATTTGAAAAATATCAGCCAACAGTTAAAATGTCATGAAGTAATAATAACACAGATGACAGTTTTGAATATACTGAATCTTATTTCAGGAACAACCAAGAAGTAATAACAAGTAATAATCGAGTTCTGTAAGTTCATCGTTAGATACATCATTTCAACAGATACAAGAAACTTCAGAGCGATGGACTAAAAGAGGTTAAGGTTGGGTTGTGAATTGTTATGACACTTTATATTTAGATATAGCAAATTATATGCCTTTGAAAGGTGGATCTTATGTAGATATACCCCCATATTAAAAGAAAAAAACATGTCATAATTAATGTTAAAAATAATGATAACTGTTTAATATGGGCATTAAGATCTGCTTTATTTCCTGCAAACAAACATTCAGATAGGCCTTCAAGCTATCCCCAAAATGATGGACTCAACTTTGAAGGTATAGATGAACTACACCAATCTCGCAAATTAATAAGGTAGCAAAGCAAAATAATTTAGCTATAAATGTTTTCGGCCATTCTGAAGGAACTGATGTACACAAGATTAGCTATCAATTTATTTCTGGTTGAAAAAGATGGTAAACATCATTCCATGGATGAAGAGTTTAAGTGGGCTATTATATGATCAATCAACCCATAAGGAAAAAAAACATTTCTGTGAAATGTCAGATGTCTGCCTGGATACTGCAGACAAGATCTTTTATAATTGCATTAAGAAGACTGTAGAGGTGTTGGACAGACTGCGATCAGGATTGAATGATATGTCCAAAGAGGATAAAATATATTATTATTTTATCGTTATTGTAATCAAATCCCAGTACCAAACATAATTTACGCTGACTTTGAAGCTCTAAATCACAAGATGAAAATAATGAACACAGTACTGAACGCTGTTATACATACAAAACTCAAGACCATAAGGCTTGTGGGTTTGATATATAGTTATAAGGTACAACGGAAAAACAAATGCTCCTGTGATTTACAGAAGCCGTGATGCAGTGGAAAAGTTCCTAGAATCTGTACAAATGAAGAGAGAATAATCAGGGATAATGTATCGCATATGAAGTGACACAGAATGATTGGACAGCCTATAAGAAGGCAACAAATTGCCATGTTTGAAACACTGTGAAAAGAAAGATGGTGATATGTCAGAAAGTTTTATTCCTAGTCTAATAACGGTTGCATATTTAAGTTCTTTCAACCTTTGCATTTATATTCACCTCATATAGTGGTTGTTTGGTGTGATTAACTGAATCACTTGTCAAGCATAGGGGGCAAAGGCCAGATGTGTTTCTGTGTTATTGTACAGGTCCCATTAGTACACAGGATGGCAATCTAGACAAACCACTTACTGCTTAAAATACAGTCATAGGCACGATGCAGTAATATACTCACCAACAAACGAAATGCCAATACCATACATGTTGGTTAACATAAGAAGAATTTCTCATATTTAAGAGAGTTTGGATTGGTTTGACGCACAAACAAACATACTGTTATGGTGTGTGAACCGAAGCTCATGAACGCATCACATGCAGAGATGCCAACCATAACGCTTTTGTGCCTATAACTACGCTATTACGCTTATCCTCACCAAATTACGATGTTTGACATTTTTTTCCGCAAATTATTTACATGTATAAAATATCACTGAGTGCTGCACCGATCATGTGAAGCATTCTACAGGGAACTCATTGCATGTACACCAATATTTCTTTGGAACTCGAAACACCACATTGTCTTTCTGCCATACAGTTAGTATTTTTTTCCCTTCTACCTTCGTGAATAATTTTTGAATAAAACAGTAAAACAAGTAATGGGTCCTTATATAACATGACACAACAAGAGGGACCGCTTAATATCATAGAATGAAATACGCCTTTTAAATAACTGACAATCGTGTGGTGAGGCTTGATGCCTTGGATGATTACGGCACATGTCACGATATCCCAATTGAGTGGATGGATGCAATCAACGTCAATTACTGGATTGTCTGTCCAGACTCTATTATTTACTGACCATCATCATATGGCTGGAATAATGCTGAATGCTCCATTAAATAACACAAAGAAAATATTAGATTGACCTACTTGATAATACCAGGTTGACCTACTTTATAATACCAGGTTGACCTACTTGATAATACCAGATTGACATGATAATACCAGATTGACCTACTTGATAATACCAGATTGACATGATAATACCAGATTGACCTACTTGATAATACCACATTGACCTACTTGATAATACCACCATCATATAGCTGCAAAAATATTGCTGAGTGCAGCGTTAACCAACCAACAAACAAACAAACTTGATAATACCAGATTGACTTGATAATACCAGATTGACCTACGTGATAATACCAGATTGACCTACTTGATAATACCAGATTGACCTACTTGATAATACAGCCATCATATAGCTACAAAAATATTGCTGAGTGCAGCGTTAACCAACAAACAAATAAATTTGATAATACCAGATTGACCTACTTGATAATACCAGATTGACCTACTTGATAATACCAGATTGACCTTCTCAATGATTTTGACACAAAAGCTGTATATAAGTCAAGGACTTGGACCCAAGAAATGTAACATGTCAATAAGTAAATATTGTGGGGCATGTAGCAAATGTGACGCCTTTAAAAATGAAACATAAAAATGCTGCAAAATGTATTTGTTAAAACAGCAGTTTATATATTAAGGCAACTTCTGTGCATCTGTCAGTGTAGGTTATTGCAGAAAAAGTTCTAAGTCAGGCATAGCTTCTACGCACCTGGCTACATGCCGGGTCTGGGGGCAATGTTGCCATAAACTTCACCCCCCATCCCCCAGACACAAGGACAAGGACAACTGTCATAAGCGTGCAATGTCTGACCCATTCCTTATGTACCGTGTACTTACTTACTTTTTGTTGAAAAAAAAAGATATTTCCAACATTAATACATCAGATAATATCATCCTGTCTTGAACAATGATAAAGGCATGGTGCTGAAAACTGATAGAAAACGGGAGAATCTTTGTATTGTACATTCTCAGATTGACCCAAAACTTTATGAGAGCATTTCATTGGTCATTATAATCAATACTGTAAGGAGGAATAACCCCTACTAATTACTTTTGAATCATGAAATTATGAAAGCTTTGAATGCCTTGCTCAGCATTTCTATCGGTCAAATGTCTGACTACTCACAAAAATCATCTGTCAAATTTAAATTTTATCAGTCTATGATTGGTGACTAAAGGCCATTTGAAACCCTGTACTTGAAAATACAAAACTGACCTTCTTGATAATACCAGGTAAACCTATTTGGTAACGAACAACCTCATCATCTGTAGATGAGCATGAATAATATAAATGTAACTAATTGTCATGTTATGTCTTGTATACAAAAGCTTAGTTTTCAGATGATGAACCAATATTTGGTACACATTGATAAAGATGATAAAGATCAGTGATTCTGAAAATGTTTATGGCAATGGAAACTGCAGTTAGTTAAAAACTGTGTTTGTAGTTTGAGTGCAGCATCTTTTCTTCAGCAAGATGTTATTTGAATGAAGGTTGTTGTAAAGTGTTTTCTCCGGCTTCAGGAGTGTTGACATCCCGGCAGCTGCTGCATCCCTAGCGGAGGAGAAGGACTTTGAGTTACAGGGATATGCGTTTGATGCAGCCCAGGAGAGTACCAGAGCTCCACGGATCGTCAGGGTTGGAGCTGTTCAAAACAAGATAGTTTTACCAACCATAGCACCGGTGCCAGAGCAGGTTTGTACACATGGAAATGTCTAACTGAAATGTTTTGTTGGTGCTCCTGAACATATAGGGTTTGACTCATCCTCAGTAATCCAGTATTTCCCATCTCCTTTCTATTATGATATATACCCTAGACCAATGATATATACCCTAGACCAATGATATATGCCCAAGACCAATGATATATGCCCTAGACCAATGATATATGCCCTAGACCAATGATATATATACCCTAGATCAATTATATATACCCTAGACCAATGATATATGCCCTAGACCAATGATATATGCCCTAGACCAATTATATATGCCCTAGACTAATGATATATACCCTAGATCAATGATATACCTAGATCAATGATATACACCCTAGACCAATGAAATAGACCCTAGACCAATGATATATACCCTAGATCAATGATATATATCCAAGACCAATGATATATATCCAAGATCAATAATATGTACCGTATATCAATGATACATACCCTAGATCAATGATATATACCCTAGATCAATGAAATATACCCTAGACCAATGATATATACCCTAGACCAATGATATATACCCTAAATCAATTATATGTACCTTAGACCAATGATATATACCCTAGGTCAATGATATATACTCTAGGTCAATGATATATACCCTAGATCAATTATATGTCCCTTAGATCAATGATATATACCCTAGATCATTTTACCCCCGTAGTTTAAATTCAGATGCCACCAGCTCCTTCCGTATTATCACTTTAACACAGAATTTATCTAGCTCATGAGCTTCAAATCAAGACCTGATCAAAATGTGTATCATGATAGACCTGCATTCAACATCGCTACCATGTCCCAGTAGGTCCTCGATATATTTGATCAAATGAGGATGTTTTCCCGAGTACCAAGGCAGGAGAGGGATTATAAGTCCTTTACTACTGGACTTTCCAGTTATATGTGTAATGGCATGCATTAGTCAAGTTGAGTAATGGTGATATCTCCTCTTGTTTCAGTCATGAGAGAACTAGTGTTGTTTGATTGACATCTAGTTTTTTTTACAAAGACATGATGGCTAATGGTCAAAGGTGTGTTTCAAAATGGAATGGAGATAGAACATAATCAGGGATAGGTTAAACTGTAAATGTTGAAATATATATATGGGCAAAAGTTTAACGTTTTTGGTGTAATAATTACGCTTTTGAGCCTAAAACTACACTATTATGCTTATCCTCCCCAAATTGAGATTTTTGGCTTTTTTTTCAAACATTATTTATCATGTATAAAATATCGAGGGGAGCAAGTTGTTTATGCACCGATCATGTGAAGCATTCTACAGGGAGCTAATTGCATAAACACCAATATTTCTTAGGAACTTGAAACACCACATTGTCTTTCTGCCATACAGTTAATATTGTCACATGATCAATTTTATGAATGTGTGGAGCTTTGACCACGTGTTTCATGTACGTATAGGCGTAATGAAAATGTCGAAGAGAAAACCAGCATCATGGCATGGTGCTCTTAACATTACTCTTTTTCTATGATATTGCTCTTTCTTACCATACTGATTACTCCAAAGCTTCAATTAGGGTTGGCATCTCTGTGTTAACCCAGGAATTGGTACTCGCTAATATTTGGTATTTGCTAATATATTGGCTATTGAACAATCCCAATTAGCACCCCTTCCAATTGATCAATGTACACAAGACTTATTTATTCGTGTATAATATGCACTCGTGTGTTATATGCACCCTTACTAATGGGTAATTAAATTCTGGAAAAATATATCTTTCATGTATGATACGCACAGACTTTTCTTGAGTATCATTTCAGACTGTCAGCATAACCACAAAATTTACGATCATTGCACTAAAGTTTTATTCTTATAAGAACCCCCTATTTCTAGTTTTGAGAGCACCCTGGGCGCTTATTACATTGAATACGATAATTATAAGCAAAACTGCATTTGTGCACTGATACCATCAACTTTACTAAATTCAAATTGCAATAGCCTTTACTTTGACATTGACCGTCTGTGCCTGACCTTGACTTTCAGCGAAGTTTGCCTGTGATAGTCGATGAAAGAAGGTACCGATCCTCTCCAAATGATTGTTCCACTTAATTGAATGGCTGATGATGTCATTGATGTAAGTCTCTGTACCTTGGAGGCCTGAAGGGACGTAATTGATGAGGCATTGAAAGGTAGTTGGTGCATTTTTCAACCCAATCAGTGTAGCAAGATCAGAACTCTTCTTTGCACGCTCAGTAAGTGGAATTCTGATGATACCCCTGACCAATTCTGTCAATACAGTCTTCAATTCTTGGTGTGGGGTATGAGTCCATTTAGGATGATGAGGTCCCTGACTTCAGGTCAGTTCAGTCCAACATCTGTAGTACCAGGCCTGGGTACCAGCATGCAATTAAACTCCACTTGCTGTCCCTCGGTTCTCCAGCTATGGTTGACTTTTTTCCAACTTGACTGGGTTCATGTAATGGGGATGTTGTTTTACAGGCAAAGCATCACCTACATCTATATCATGACTAAGTAAGTTGCTACATGAAATGAAATCTGACAATTAATCAACAAAATGGAGAGACGCATATTTTAGAAAATCCAAATCATCGAGTGTAGATGATATGCCGTTAATTGTTCCAAGTTCAAACTTTGAGTGAGTGAGTGAGTGAATAAGGTTTTACGCCGCTTTTAGCAATATTCCAGCAATATCATGGCGGGGGACACCAGAAATGGGCTTCACACATTGTACCCATGTCGGGAATCGAACCCGGGTCTTCGGCGTGACAAGCGAACGCTTTAACCACTAGGCTACCCGACCGCCCTCAAACTTTGAGATAATGTGTAAGTAAATACTCATCTAATAAGGGATTGTTAAGGATTGGAGTGGGAGGATTCTCAGGGCCAAGGCACACCCTATTGAGGAGTGTCAGCGGTAATGCTGAGGTGAGGTTCTCCACTATGTTGGTGCCTGAGGTCAGCTGTCGACCTTCATTATTCACGATTGACAGGTCTTCTGGAGGAGCATTCAGGAGAGGATGGTAATGGGTCTGCTTCTGGTTTTGCAAGCAAATAATGATACCGGTAGTTAGGGTGTCTGTTGTATAGCAAAGCCTTTATTGTGTCTCACACCACATAAAAACATTATTTATTTGTTTCAGTGTATATATTTGGCTATCATTAAATATTGTCAGAGAGTGATATGCAACAAATATTTTTTAACTAAATACCAAGCATGGCAATAAATCTTGATTTCTTTTCAGAGAGATGCCCTCATAAAGAGGATCTGTGACATAGCTGAGGCTGCTGCCCTGTGTGGAGTAAACATCCTGTGTTTTCAGGAGGCTTGGAGTAAGTGAGGCTACTGCCCTGTGTGGAGTATGATTCTCTGTGACTGAGGCTACTGCCCTGTGTGGAGTGTGATTTTCTGTGACTGGGGCTACTGCCCTGTGTGGAGTATGATTCTCTGTGACTGAGGCAAATGCCCTGTGTTGAGTATGATTCTCTGTGACTGAGGCTACTGCCCTGTGTGGAGTGTGATTCTCTGTGACTGTGGTTACTGCCCTGTGTGGAGTATGATTCTCTGAGGCTGTGGTTACTGCCCTGTGTGGAGTATGATTCTCTGTTGACTGTGGTTACTGCCCTGTGTGGAGTATGATTCTCTGTGACTATGGTTACTGCCCTGTGTGGAGTATGATTCTCTGAGGCTGTGGTTACTGCCCTGTGTGGAGTATGATTCTCTGTTGACTGTGGTTACTGCCCTGTGTGGAGTATGATTCTCTGATGACTGTGGTTACTGCCCTGTGTGGAGTACATATGGTTATCTGAGACCGTGGATACTGCATGCCTTGTGTTAAGTACATATGATTCTCTGTGACTCGGGCTACTGCCCTGTGTGGAGTAAGTATGATTCTCTGAGGCTGTGGTTACTGCCCTGTGTGGAGTACATATGATTCTCTGTGACTCTGGCTACTGCCCTGTGTGGAGTATGATTCTCTGATTCTGTGGTTACTGCCCTGTGTGGAGTACATATGATTCTCTGTGACTGTGGTTACTGCCCTGTGTGGAGTGTGATTCTCTGATTCTGTGGCTACTGCCCTGTGTGGAGTATGATTCTCTGATTCTGTGGTTACTGCCCTGTGTGGAGTACATATGATTCTCTGTGACTGTGGTTACTGCCCTGTGTGGAGTGTGATTCTCTGATTCTGTGGCTACTGCCCTGTGTGGAGTATGATTCTCTGATTCTGTGGTTACTGCCCTGTGTGGAGTGTGATTCTCTGATTCTGTGGTTACTGCCCTGTGTGGAGTGTGATTCTCTGATTCTGTGGCTACTGCCCTGTGTGGAGTATGATTCTCTGATTCTGTGGTTACTGCCCTGTGTAGAGTACATATGGTTATCTGAGACCGTGGATACTGCATGCCTTGTGTTGAGTACATATGATTCTCTGTGACTGTGGCTACTGCCCTGTGTGGAGTACATATGATTCTTTGTGACTGGGGCTACTGCCCTGTGTGGAGTAAGTATGGTTCTCTGAGACTGTGGATACTGCCCTGTATGGTTCTCTGTGACTGTGGGTACTGCCCTGTATGGTTCTCTGTGACTGTGGGTACTGCCCTGTATGGTTCTCTGTGACTGTGGGTACTGCCCTGTATGGTTTTCTGTGACTGGATACTGCCCTGTATGGTTCTCTGTGACTGTAGGTTCTGCCCTGTATGGTTCTCTGTGACTGTGGGTACTGCCCTGTATGGTTCTCTGTGACTGTGGGTACTGCCCTGTATGGTTCTCTGTGACTGTGGATACTGCCCTGTATGGTTCTCTGTGACTGTGGATACTGCCCTGTATGGTTCTCTGAGACTGTGGGTACTGCCCTGTATGGTTCTCTCTGACTGTGGGTACTGCCCTGTATGGTTCTCTGTGACTGTTGGTACTGCCCTGTATGGTTCTCTGTGACTGTGGGTACTGCCCTGTATGGTTCTCTGTGACTGTGGATACTGCCCTGTATGGTTCTCTGTGACTGTGGATACTGCCCTGTATGGTTCTCTGAGACTGTGGGTACTGCCCTGTATGGTTCTCTGTGACTGTGGTTACTGCCCTGTATGGTTCTCTGTGACTGTGGGTACTGCCCTGTATGATTCTCTGTGACTGTGGGTACTGCCCTGTATGGTTCTCTGTGACTGTGGGTACTGCCCTGTATGGTTCTCTGTGACTGTGGATACTGCCCTGTATGGTTCTCTGTGACTGTGGGTACTGCCCTTTTATGGTTCTCTGAGACTGTGGATACTGCCCTGTATGGTTCTCTGTGACTGTGGGTACTGCCCTGTATGGTTCTCTGTGACTGTGGGTACTGCCCTGTATGGTTCTCTGTGACTGGATCTTGCCCTGTATGGTTCTCTGTGACTGTGGATACTGCCCTGTATGGTTCTCTGCGACTGTGGGTACTGCCCTGTATGGTTCTCTGTGACTGTGGGTACTGCCCTGTATGGTTCTCTGTGACTGTGGGTACTGCCCTGTATTGTTCTCTGTGACTGTGGTAACTGCCCTGTATGGTTCTCTGTGACTGTGGGTACTGCCCTGTATGGTTATCTGTGACTGTGGGTACTGCCCTGTATGGTTCTCTGTGACTGTGGGTACTGCCCTGTATGGTTCTCTGTGACTGTGGGTACTGCCCTGTATGGTTCTCTGTGACTGTGGGTACTGCCCTGTTTGGTTCTCTGAGACTGTGGGTACTGCCCTGTATGGTTCTCTGAGACTGTGGGTACTGCCCTGTATGGTTCTCTGTGACTGTGGATACTGCCCTGTATGGTTCTCTGAGATTGTGGATACTGCCCTGTATGGTTCTCTGTGACTGTGGATACTGCCCTGTATGGTTCTCTGTGACTGTTGGTACTGCCCTGTATGGTTCTCTGTGACTGTGAGTACTGCCCTGTATGGTTCTCTGATTCTGTGGGTACTGCCCTGTATGGTTCTCTGTGACTGTGGGTACGGCATGCCTTGTGTTGAATACATATGATTCACTGAGGAAGGGGCTACTGCCCTGTGTGGAGTACCGTATTTTCTTGAGTATAGTGCACACTTTTTTTCCAAAAAACACAGCTGTGTAGAAGGGGGTGCGCATTATACACAAATTTATGAGTTTTGATGTTTTTTCACCCATGGAATGATATTACACTGTCTGGCTATAAAAAGTGTTCTTTGTATATCTGGACTTATGTTTGTAACTTATTTCATTAATTTTATTTAAAATTCCTTTTAATATTGTTTTAATTAATCGGAAGATCGCACAACTCACCGTTATTAACAGCAACCACAGTCAGATTACCACTATTGACGCCTTGAAATGAACTTTAGTTGACAGAGAATGGATACATATATCATAAATGCCATACTTTGATTAGTTAAAAGTCATATTTGTTTTTGTTGGACGATTCTATGTCAACACGTAAACATCGCGATCACGCGATCACGTGCACGGGAGCCTTGACGGTGACTGGTCAGACTGGTTCCATGTAAAAAATAATACCAATAAAATAGCGATCAGCGATTTGCTATTTGGAGTTACCCCATATCAATTGGCGATAATGAAAACTTTTATGGATGTGTGAAAGCTCCCGTTATTCCCGTATCAGCTCTTCAGGGATCGTCGGCGTCGTGAGTGTTTTCATCAGTGAATCAACATGGCGGCGTTCAGGAAGGTAGATGAACATGACTTAGATAAAGATGAATTGGGTGAATATATCGAGAGACTTGAGTTTTATTTCGAAGCTAACGAAATAACTGATGGAAGTAGGAAGCATGCAGTCCTAATTAGCAATGTAGGTGCTAAAGCTAACAAACTTTTGAAAAATCTGCCGTCACCCGGGAAGCCAGGGGACCATTCCTTTTTTGGCTTTGGTCAAATTGATGCAATTACACCAACACCGGAACCCGAATGTCATGGTGGAAAGAAGAAGATTCAATATCAGAAATAGACAGCCTAAGTGTTTCAGATTATGTTTCTGATTTAAAGAGACTTGCATCAACTTGTGAGTATACTGATTTGGAGGTGCAATTGAGGGATTGTTTAGTTTGTGGAATTAATGATGAAGCAATGCAGAAACGCCTCTTTAATGAGAAATCTTTGGATTAAAGTAAAGCATATTCATTGTGTCTTGGCATGAAGATGACGTCAAAGGAAGTTAAAGACATTAGAGATGAAACAACCCCCCAAGCAAACAAGACTGCTGTACACAAAGTGAAATCTATGACATGTGACCGATGTGGAGGCACAAATCAAATGGCAGAAATTGTTTTTACAGAAATTCTGTTTGCAACGGCTGTGGTAAACTGGGACATATTGTGCGTATGTGTCATAGCTCATCATCTCAGAATCGACATTCTTCACAGTCACGTGGTCGCAGTTACAGACCTAGTCAGATGTGGTCACCCACATCGTGGTAGAGGCCAAGGCCATGGACGTGGAGGGGAGACACATTAATTGAGTTCTACTGCCCAGGAAGATGTAGAATATGAACTATTCAAGATGGAAACTCATAGTAAATTAAGCGTACATCACAACCTGTGAGGCGAAGAGTTGAACCTTACATGATTGATATGATTGTAAATGGGAAACAGTTATCTATGGAGACTGCCACGGGGGCAGCAACCTCAGTGATCAGTGAACAAACATTCAACTCGTTATGGAGACCTCATGAGTGACCACAACTGTGTGAAATGAATGAAATTCTTCGATCATACACTAAAGAGAAGATTGAAGTCATGGGTAGGAGTAATGTTCATTTATGTTATGGTAATCAAGAAGAAACATTATCTCTTGTGGTAGTGAAAGGAGATCGTGAAAACCTTCTAGGTAGAGACTGGTTACAATGTATCAAGTTAGATTGGGAAAGAATCCTGAAAGTGAAAAATGAAGGATTACAGGACATTTTGAGATCACAGGCAGATATTTTTCAAGAAGACATTGGTGAGTTTAAAGTCACACAGTGAAAATCCAGATATCGACAAATACACCTAGATTCTGTAAACACAGAAATGTAGCGTATGCTCTCCAAGAGGAAGTGGAGACAGAGATGAATCGGCTAGAGAAACAAGGTATCATTAGGCCTGTACAGCATTCCGAGTGGGCGGCACCTATCGTTCCGATAATCAAATCAAATGGCTCTGTGAGAATCTGCGGTGATTATAAACTAACAGTCAACAAGGTAGCTCAGCCTGATGTATATCCTCTCCCTCATATTGAGGATTTGTTCGCATCATTATCTGGTGGAAAGACTTTCACAAAACTCTCAGTCAAGCTTACCAACAGTTAACTCTGGATGAAGAATCACAAAAGTTAACAACCATAAACACCCACAAGGGACTCTACAAGTATCTTCGACTTCCGTTCAAGATTTCAGTGGCGCCAGCCATCTTTCAGCGTACTATGGAGTGTTCGCTGGGAGACATTCCATTCGTATGTGTTTACCTTGATGACATACTGATCACTGGAGAGACTGAACGTCAACACCTGGAGAACATTTAGACTGTTTTATCCAGACTGGATAAAGCAGAGTTACAACTCAATGGGCAGAAATGTAGTGTTTTTGGGACACAGAATAGATGCAGAAGGACTGCATCCTTTGGATGTAAAAGTGCAAGCCATAGTAGCAGCTCCAGCACTTAGAGATACCTCTAAGAAACTGAAATCATTTCTGGGACTGGTACAATATTACCAAAAGTTCTTGCCTAACCTTTCCACTACACTTGCTCCGCTAAATCGATTCCTTAGGAAAGATGTATCCTGGAAATGGGGACCAAATGAAGAGAAGTCTTTTAGAGCTGTGAAACGTCACTTGTCATCGAGCTGCTTACTCACTCAGCATGACCCAAAACAGCAGATCACACTTGCCTGCGATGCGTCACCTTATGGGGTGGGAGCAGTGCTATCTCACATCTTTGATGATGGCTCTGAGAAAACCAAACGCATTCGCTTGACGCTCACTTACTCAAGCTGAGAATAATTACTCACAGCTGGATCGAGAAGCATTAGCCATAATCTTCTGAACTAAGAAGTTCCATCAATATCTATATGGACGTTCATTCAAGCTCACATCGGATCACAAACCTCTGTAAAGTATCTTCAATCCAGACAAAGGATTATCACCAATGTCATCCAGTAGAATACAGAGATGGGCCGTAGCGCTCTCAGCCTACAACTATACTATAGAGTACAGAAAAGGCACAGAGATAGCAAATGCAGATTGTATGAGTCGACTTCCATTGTTTTAAGTAGGACCAGAAAAGCCATTTCCTTGAGACACCATACATCTGATTGAAAGTATGGAATCAACTCCTGTAAATGTGCAACAGGTAAAGACGTGGACAGACAGAGATCCATCTTTGTCACGGGTACGAACATTTGTACACAGTGGATGGCCAGATAGTTTGGACAAGTCAGATGAGCTCAGTCCATATATGAAGCGTAAACTTGAACTCAGTGTTCAGAATGGATGTGTTCTGTGGGGAAGTCGCCTCATCATTCCACCACGCAAACGAGTGATTGATATGTTGCATGAAGCTCACCCAGGGATATCGCGTATGAAGTCAGTAGCTCGTAGTTTGGTATGGTGGCCATACCTTGACCCTGAGTTAGAGGAGAAAGTTCACACTTTCTCTATATGTCAACAGACAAGATCAGTGCCAGCTGAAGCAACACTTCAATCCATGGGAGTGGCCAGAGAGACCCTGGAGTAGATTGCATTTGGACTATGCAGGACTTTCAATGGGTAAAATGTTTCTGATATCCATTGATGCACTTTCAAAATGGTTGGATGTATATCCAGTACACAGTGCTTCCAGTGCAACAATAGAGTGTTTGAGGCAAAGTTTTGCAATTCATGGTTTGCCTGAAACAGTGGTGACAGATAACAGCACTTGCAGAGCTCCAGATAAGCTTTTGGTGTTGTGGGTATTTTACCCATGCATTTTAAAATCATTGGGTATCAGTAATTCTATCTACGTATTCAAATTTCTGTTACCCACTAGTTTTTACACATGTGGGTATTTAAGTTAAATATTTAAAAACACTATTCATCTAGTCCCTGCAAACTGGTGTCGTGTGGGTTTGAGAGCTTTATAGGACTCAAAAATACCACGATACTTCCACACGAAAGTGTGATGGCAAATGATCATGATGTGACTGTCATCGTGGAGTTTGGCAAGGTTGATGGAATGCCCGTTTATAATTTCAAAATAAGTTGCTGATTTGCTTATCGAATACGCAGGTTTACTTCACAATATTTTGATGATACGCACAAATTTTATTTTTGTAGCGTATCTGTAATGTTCATTGCGTATTTGATACGTTTGGATTATATTTTACTGCGTATTTCTGCATTTCTGCATTTCTGATGCGTATTTCACGCAGATACGCAGCTTATCTGGAGCTCTGACTTGTTTTACAAGTGAGAATTTCACCTTGTTCATGAAACGCAACGGCATTCAGCATACATGTGTAGCGCCGTACCACCCTGCATCAAATGGGATGGCCGAGCGTGCCGTACAGACTTTCAAGAATGGTATGAAACGCATGATAGGAGGAAGTTTAGAAATGAGACTTTCCCGTTTCTTATTCAAGTATCGACTCACACCTCAAACTACAACTAGAGTTTCACCAGCTGAACTCTTGTTAGGTCGACGTCCAAGGTCTCATCTAGATTTACTCCATCCAGATCTAGGTGACAAGGTTTGTCAGAAACAAGAGAAGCATAAATTCTTACATGACAAGTCTGCTAGAGATTGTACAATCCAGGTTGGCGATCCAGTTTTTGTACTAAACTTTTGTTCAGGTGAAAAGTGGTTACAAGGAATAGTGTCAGAGAGAACGGGCCCAGTGTCAGTTTGGGTTTGTCTTGTGAATGGTGGTGTTCTGAGACGACACATAGATCATGTGCGGCTTCGTCAAACAAGTGAGCAGATTGAAAGTGAATCTGCAAAAGCAGATAGTGTATACGTGCCAAAAGCAGTTAAAGCACCCGTGTTCATTAATGTTGAGCCACCAGCTCAAGGTGTAATAATTTTTTAATTTGAAGTTTACACGATATACGGCTTTTCCATTGGACGAGAGTTCGGTCACATGACCGCGAAATTGACGTTCATAAGTGTACGCTTACAAGTTGTTCTTTCTGTCAGATATGCCATTTGCCTTCTGCACCAGAGAGAAATCTCCATGGTGTGAGTTTGCTGAGTCAGCAGAAGATGGACCTACAGTGAAAGCCATGCAAGATGTAAGGGACAGCCATTTACATTTAATTTGTATGAAGGTTATTTGGGTGTGTACTGACAATACACAAGTACACTGATGTAACTTGGATATAAAGCTGCTGTATTTCATTTTGGAGGATTTGGACATACAATTCTTGTCTGTAAACAATGGTAAATTTATCTAAAGCAGCATACATGACGTCAAACACATGCGGATTTCTTGATTAAAAACAGAGTAGGTGTAGATCATATATTCTATTATGATGGTATATATATGCTTGTTTGTGTTCATGATCATTGACATGGCAGGAACAATCCACAATAATTGATTTTGTAACAGTCTCTCATTAAAGATATGTTAATTAAGCAGCACCTCATCATTTGCCACAACATGTACATCAATGTACTTGTTCACTGCCATTTGTGTGTTGTCAGCTGTGCAAGAAGTACAACATGGTTGTTGTGTGCTCTATTCTGGAGCGGGACGAGGCGCATGGGGATATTCTGGCCAACACCGCAGGTACGTACGTCTGGTGATGATTTAACTCAGTGGCTATGTTTGTGGTTGTCATGACCACCAAAAGGACTCCTGCAGTCTGCGACTTTAACCACTAGTCTGGACCCCGACAAGTAAACTTCTGTTTGGTCTAGTAAGCTCAGCTAATAATAATCCATATAGCAACACTAAAATCTACTATAATGATGTTAAGAGCTATGTTCGTGCTAGTGGTCTTAAAAGTTTATTTTTTGGCATAGACTGCTCATGTTAGAATGCAGAGGTATTTAAGATTGCATTCAGTACAATAGTGTAAAAATAAACATAAAAGCTTCTCCCTCTTGATTGATCTTGGTTTAGAAATACAAGACACCTCGGCCATATCTGCAAAGCCATAATATTAGTTTTAAGTATAATAATAACAGGAATTGAGAAAACATTTATTCCAATTTGGGAGCTTTTACTGACATTTGTTGCTGACTTTGGGCAGGTATAGATAAGTCCCTCATGCAGAAAGACTGTTGGGTGTGCAACAACATGCTGTGCATGCTTTTGTTGTATGTTGATTTTTGAGAGGAGATGACTACAGAAGTGACAAGACTAAATTAAATTTGGAAAACACATTCTACCATGGCAAAATGAATCTATTTTGTGTCAGTGAAGATAATGAGTGAAGAAGTGGCATACCTATGCACTGAGTCTGCTGTTTTGTGAAGATTGCTCATTTAGATCATCATTCATTGCCTTTCAGCAGGGTACAACTATAAATACTCAAAAACTATTTTTCTTACTCTGGACTGAAAGTTCCTGTGACATGATGTTTTGGCATGTTGTTCCTCGTCTGTCTGTCAATCCATGCATCTGTTTTAAACTTTTACATTTTTTACATGTCAATGATCATAAAGCTGAAATGGATTCATGGATGATGTAAGCAATGGTATCTCATGTTCTGCCACAGCAGATTCTTCTCCTTAGAAACCACAAAGTCTAAGAAGTAGAACACTTATGTGATCTGTAGCAACACAATGGAATAGAGATATTTTCTTACCATCAAAGTAATGGTATTGTTTTTGTAAAAATTGATAAAAAGTTGACTTTGAAAATCTTTATGAATCTTCTGCTCAGAAACCACAAGGCCTAGTGAGTTTAAAGGCATGTAGAATCTTAATGAGACAAAGATTTAGTTATCCTGAAGGTAACTGGACACTATCCTTATTGTTTGTCAGCAGTTTCCTTGCACTATTTTCAGATAATACACCCATTTTTTACCCCTAGCCCTACAATATTTTAGGTGTTACACCCATACTTTACCCCAAGCCCTACAATATTTTAGATTATACTTCCATACTTTACCCCAAGCCCTACAATATTTTAGGTTATACATCCATACTTTACCCCAAGCCCTACAATATTTTAGGTTATACACCCATAATTGACCCCAAGCCCTACAATATTTTAAGTTATACATCCATACAAAAAAAAATGACTCAATCAAAATTCAATTTGCATCAGATTTTCAGATAGATTTATTTTGTATAAGAAGTTAAACATGATCTCAAATGAGGACATGATATTGAGTCTAGAACTGTGCATCCATAATTATCCTGGGTACTATGACTCCATTCTATGTTGCCAAGTACCCGGGTAGATACTAGACAATTGAGGATGTGTCCTGTATTACCTCAAACAGTTTGTTCATTGAAATATTTAGTTGTTTCACAAATTGACTGAATTTTCCTATCAATGTGACATGTTAATTTTACCACAACAATCACTTCTGATATGATTGAGATTAAAGTTAGTTGTCTTATGACAATGCATTGATACCAGATGATGAGTGGGCTAGGGGAGCAGTGACCACTCTGTCATGTTGACCCTTGCTGTGTTGCAGTAGTCATCTCCAACACCGGTGCTGTGATTGGCAAAAGCCGCAAGAATCATATTCCAAGGATAGGGGATTTTAATGAGGTATGTAGCAGTGTTCCCAGCAAAGGTGGTAGGAAAACCTTATACATACTTATTGCACAACTTAGGCCATCTCAATAGTCAGCTTTAATGGGGCCAGATGATGTGGTGAAAAATCTAAGTTAGAAAATAGAAGATTTTTCATTGTACCAACTGAACAATGTGTCTGTGTTTATCAAGGCCACCCCTAGGTCATCTGAACAATGTGTCTGTGTTTATCAAGGCCACCCCTAGGTCACCTTAACAATGTGTCTGTGTTTATCAAGGCCATCCCCAGGTCACCTTAACAATGTGTCTGTGTTTATCAAGGCCACCGCTAGGTCACCTGAACAATGTGTCTGTGTTTATCAAGGCCACCCCTAGGTCACCTGAACAATGTGTCTGTGTTTATCAAGGCCACCCCTAGGTCACCTTAACAATGTGTCTGTGTTTATCAAGGCCATCCCCAGGTCACCTTAACAATGTGTCTGTGTTTAACCAGGCCACCGCTAGGTCACCTAAACAATGTGTCTGTGTTTAACCAGGCCACCCCAGGTCACCTGTACATTGTGTCTGTGTTTAACCAGGCCACCGCTAGGTCACCTTAACAATGTGTCTGTGTTTATCAAGGCCACCGCTAGGTCACCTTAACAATGTGTCTGTGTTTATCAAGGCCATCCCCAGGTCACCTTAACAATGTGTCTGTGTTTATCAAGGCCACCGCTAGGTCACCTTAACAATGTGTCTGTGTTAAACCAGGCCACCCCTAGGTCACCTTAACAATGTGTCTGTGTTTATCAAGGCCACCGCTAGGTCACCTTAACAATGTGTCTGTGTTTATCAAGGCCATCCCCAGGTCACCTTAACAATGTGTCTGTGTTTATCAAGGCCACCGCTAGGTCACCTTAACAATGTGTCTGTGTTTATCAAGGCCATCCCCAGGTCACCTTAACAATGTGTCTGTGTTTATCAAGGCCACCGCTAGGTCACCTTAACAATGTGTCTGTGTTTAACCATGCCACCCCCAGTTCACCTTAACAATGTGTCTGTGTTTATCAAGGCCATCCCCAGGTCACCTTAGCAATGTGTCTGTGTTTATCATGGCCATCCCCAGGTCACCTGAACATTGTATCTGTGTTTAACCAGGTCATCCCCAGGTAACCTAAACAATGTGTCTGTGTTTAACCAGGCCACCCCAGGTCACCTGTACATTGTGTCTGTGTTTATCCAGTCTATTCCCAGGTCACCTGAACATTGTATATGTGTTTATCCAGGCCACCCCAGGTCACCTGAACATTGTATCTGTGTTTATCAAGGCCAGGGGCAGTCGGGTAGCCTAGTGGTTAAAGCGTCCGCTCATCACGCTGAAGACCAGGGTTCGAATCCCGACATGGGTACAATGTGTGAAGCCCATTTCTGGTGTCCCCCGCCGTGTTATTGCTGTAATATTACTAAAAGTGGCGTAAAACCATACTCACACACTCACTCATTATCAAGGCCATCCCTAGGTCACCTTAACATTGTTTCTGTGTTTCAGTCAACCTACTACATGGAGGGCAACACGGGACACAAAGTGTTCCATACTCAGTATGGTAGGTGTAACCATCACACACTGGAAGGTGTGTCACCTATATGTATTTACCATCACACACTGGAAGGTGTGTCACCTATATGTATGTAACCATCACACACTGGAAGGTGTGTCACCTACATGTATGTAACCATCACACACTGGAAGGTGTGTCACCTGTATGTATGTAACCATCACACACTGGAAGGTGTGTCACCTATATGTATGTAACCATCACACACTGGAAGGTGTCTCACCTACATGTATGTAACCATCACACACTGGAAGGTGTCTCACCTACATGTATGTAACCATCACACACTGGAAGGTGTCTCACCTACATGTATGTAACCATCACACACTGGAAGGTGTCTCACCTATATGTATGTAACCATCACACACTGGAAGGTGTGTCACCTACATGTATGTAACCATCACACATTGGAAGGTGTCTCATCTATATGTATGTAACCATCACACACTGGAAGGTGTGTCACCTATATGTATGTAACCATCACACACTGGAAGGTGTCTCACCTACATGTATGTAACCATCACACACTGGAAGGTGTGTCACCTATATGTATGTAACCATCACACACTGGAAGGTGTGTCACCTATATGTATGTAACCATCACACACTGGAAGGTGTGTCACCTACATGTATGTAACCATCACACACTGGAAGGTGTCTCACCTATATGTATGTAACCATCACACACTGGAAGGTGTCTCACCTATATGTATGTAACCATCACACACTGGAAGGTGTCTCACCTACATGTATGTAACCATCACACACTGGAAGGTGTCTCACCTATATGTATGTAACCATCACACACTGGAAGGTGTGTCACCTATATGTATGTAACCATCACACACTGGAAGGTGTCTCACCTACATGTATGTAACCATCAAACACTGGAAGGTGTCTCACCTATATGTATGTAACCATCACACACTGGAAGGTGTGTCACCTATATGTATGTAACCATCACACACTGGAAGGTGTCTCACCTACATGTATGTAACCATCACACACTGGAAGGTGTCTCACCTATATGTATGTAACCATCACACACTGGAAGGTGTCTCACCTATATGTATGTAACCATCACACACTGGAAGGTGTCTCACCTGTATGTATGTAACCATCACACACTGGAAGGTGTGTCACCTGTATGTATGTAACCATCACACACTGGAAGGTGTGTCACCTGTATGTATGTAACCATCACACACTGGAAGGTGTAGACTAAAATCTAGTCTCTGAAATGAATATATCGTACATAAAAAAACAGTTGTTCAGTTATCTTAATAAAAATATAATAAAAAGGAGCCCAGTGACTCTCTTCATTTTCAGAGACTAAACAAATCTGCAGAGCTATAATTTCTTGGAATTTTACGACACGTGTAAATGATCCTATCACCCATCACTGCCGTGCCATTGAAAGTGTGTGTGACAGGAAATTTTATTGCCCCCACCACCTCTCCCCAAACACACAACCCTCCCAGTGGAAGCATGGGGTCAGTTTAGAGGGCAGTAAGTATTAAATGTCCAGAAATCTATTTTGAGAGCAAGCTTGGGTACCAGCTTAGAATTTATATATGTCACTAAGTCTCCAATATAATCCCACATGTTGTCTGGCCAGAGAGAGTTGGCAGGGCCGGAGCGGGAGCGGAAGGTCTTGTCTCAGTGTGGGGTCTTGGGGAGTGGGGGACGAGGTTCGCCACATCCTAATACTAAACACTAATGACAGCTAGAGATTTACTGATAATTACAAGCTCTGTGCTCGCTTGTGAATTCAGCAGATTTGTACAGACCCTGATACTGCAGTGATCTAGACTTGCCAAACATTATAGACTTGCATGGGCTGTATTTGATATATATTTGTATCAGGGTCTGTAAGACAGACTATGGAAGGTGTGTCACCTATATGTATGTAACCATCACACATTGGAAGGTGTGTCACCTGTATGTATGTAACCATCACACACTGGAAGGTGTCTCACCTGTATGTATGTAACCATCACACATTGGAAGGTGTCTCACCTGTATGTATGTAACCATCACACACTGGAAGGTGTCTCACCTACATGTATGTAACCATCACACACTGGAAGGTGTGTCACCTGTATGTATGGAACCATCACACACTGGAAGGTGTCCCACCTACATGTATGTAACCATCACACACTGGAAGGTGTCTCACCTACATGTATGTAACCATCACATACTGGAAGGTGTGTCACCTGTATATATGTAACCATCACACACTGGAAGGTGTGTCACCTGTATGTATGTAACCATCACACACTGGAAGGTGTCTCACCTATATGTATGTAACCATCACACACTGGAAGGTGTCTCACCTACATGTATGTAACCATCACACACTGGAAGGTGTCTCACCTATATGTATGTAACCATCACACACTGGAAGGTGTGTCACCTATATGTATGTAACCATCACACACTGGAAGGTGTCTCACCTACATGTATGTAACCATCACACACTGGAAGGTGTGTCACCTATATGTATGTAACCATCACACACTGGAAGGTGTCTCACCTACATGTATGTAACCATCACACACTGGAAGGTGTCTCACCTATATGTATGTAACCATCACACACTGGAAGGTGTGTCACCTGTATGTATGTAACCATCACACACTGGAAGGTGTGTCACCTGTATGTATGTAACCATCACACACTGGAAGGTGTCTCACCTGTATGTATGTAACCATCACACACTGGAAGGTGTGTCACCTATATGTATGTAACCATCACACACTGGAAGGTGTCTCACCTATATGTATGTCACCATCACACACTGGAAGGTGTCTCACCTACATGTATGTAACCATCACACACTGGAAGGTGTCTCACCTACGTGTATGTAACCATCACACACTGGAAGGTGTGTCACCTGTATGTATGTAACCATCACACACTGGAAGGTGTCTCACCTACATGTATGTAACCATCACACACTGGAAGGTGTCTCACCTACGTGTATGTAACCATCACACACTGGAAGGTGTGTCACCTGTATGTATGTAACCATCACACACTGGAAGGTGTCTCACCTGTATGTATGTAACCATCACACACTGGAAGGTGTGTCAACTGTATGTATGTAACCATCACACACTGGAAGATGTGTCACCAGTATGTATGTAACCATCACACACTGGAAGGTGTGTCACCTGTATGTATGTAACCATCAAACACTGGAAGGTGTCTCACCTATATGTATTGAACTATCACACACTGGAAGGTGTGTCACCTGTATGTATGTAACCATCACACACTGGAAGGTGTGTCACCTGTATGTATGTAACCATCACACACTGGAAGGTGTCTCACCTATATGTATGTAACCATCACACACTGGAAGGTGTCTCACCTATATGTATGTAATCATCACACACTGGAAGGTGTCTCACCTATATGTATGTAATCATCACACACTGGCAGCCATCACACACTGAAAGGCGTCTCACCTTTATGCATGTAAAGGCAGGAATCTTTTCTACAGATGGTAGTCATTGCACAGTGGCAGCCATCACACACTGCAATGTATCAGTTAGCTTACATTTGATCTCTCACAACAGGTAAGATTGCTGTGAACATATGCTACGGACGTCACCATCCGCTGAACTGGTTAATGTATGGTGTCAATGGAGCTGAAATTGTCTTCAATCCATCTGCAACTGTCTCAGGACTCAGGTAATGACCATCTGCAGCTGTCTCAGGACTCAGGTAATGACCATCTGCAGCTGTCTCGGTACTCGGGTAATGACCATCTGCAACTGTCTCAGGTCTCAGGGAATGACCATCTGCAGCTGTCTCAGTACTCGGGTAATGAGCATCTGCAACTGTCTCAGGACTCAGGTAATGACCATCTGCAACTGTCTCAGGACTCAGGTAATGAGCATCTGCAACTGTCTCAGGACTCAGGGAATGACCATCTGCAGCTGTCTCAGGTAATGAGCATCTGCAGCTGTGTCATGACTCAGGTGATGACCATCTGCAGCTGTCTCAGGACTCAGGTAATGACCCTCTGCAACTGTCTCAGGACTCATGTAATGAGCATCTGCAACTGTCTGAGGACTCCGGTAATGACCATCTGCAGCTGTCTCAGGTAATGACCATCTGCAACTGTCTCAGGACTCATGTAATGACCATCTGCAGCTGTCTAAGGACTCAGGTAATGACCATCTGCAGCTGTCTCAGGTAATGAGCATCTGCAACTGTCTCAGGTAATGACCATTTGCAGCTGTCTCAGGTAATGACCATCTGCAGCTCTCAAGACTCAGATAATGACCATCTGCAACTGTCTCAATAAATGACCATCTGCAGCTGTCTCAGGACTCAGGAATGATCATCTGCAACTGTCTCAGGACTCAGGTAATGACCATCTGCAGCTGTCTCAGGTAATGACTATCTGCAACTGTCTCAGGACTCAGGCAATGACAATCTGCAACTGTCTGAGGACTCAGGTAATGACCATCTGCAGCTGCCTCAGGTAATGAGCATCTGCAACTGTCTCAGGACTCAGGTAATGAGCATCTGCAACTGTCTTAGGACTCAGGTAATGAGCATCTGCAACTGTCTCAGGACTCAGGTAATGATCATCTGCAACTGTCTGAGGACTCCGGTAATGACCATCTGCAGCTGTCTCAGGTAATGACCATCTGCAACTGTCTCAGGTAATGACCATCTGCAACTGTCTCAGGACTCAGGTAATGACCATCTGCAGCTGTCTCAGGTAATGAGCATCTGCAACTGTCTCAGGTAATGCCCATTTGCAGCTGTCTCAGGTAATGACCATCTGCAGCTCTCAAGACTCAGATAATGAGCATCTGCAACTGTCTCAGGACTCAGGTAATGAGCATCTGCAGCTCTCTCAGGACTCAGGTAATGACCATCTGCAGCTGTCTCAGGTAATGACCATCTGCAACTGTATTAGGTCTCAGGTAATGACCATCTGCAGCTGTCTCAGGACTCAGGTAATGACCATCTGCAACTGTCTCAGGTAATGACCATCTGCAACTGTCTCAGGTAATGACCATCTGCAACTGTCTCAGGTAATGACCATCTGCAACTGTCTCAGGTAATTACCATCTGCAAATGTCTGTATGTTTGTTAGTGCCTTTGTAGTATCGGACAATACACAAAAGTGCTACCGCATTACCCTGGTTATGGTTATCATTATTTGGAGATATATATCGTAAAACCTGCAATTGAAATAACACGATATCAGAATATATTATTCGTAGTAAAATAGTAGTTTAAGATACTATTTTTTTCCGATCATTGGTTTAAAATTCTTCTCTGTTATATTATTTTGTATGTTTTAATGTAATCACTGGTAGGTTGGGAGGAAACGTGTGTACAGCTGATTGCTATTTCCGGCCTACTTTGAGACAATACACATTGTTATCTTGATCCCTGCATATAAAGCAATGCCTGGCATACCAAGAAATACAATTGAAATGGTAAATCATCATGTCTTGTGATGTTTAATCACAAATTTCACATTTTCATTGACAAAGTTTGCTATAGCGTTCTTTATTAATTCACCTGAAGCGATATGATGTAGTTTTTTTGCCTACAGAAAAAGAGTTTGATAAAAGTGTAACCCATAGCCGACCCCTTTCTGCAGAATCTATTTTCTGGTCCTCAAAATTTGGCTTATCTACAATATCACTTCTTAACACTCGTTACCGCTAAACAAAGATCTGAGGACATCCCATTGTGTGTCATGTCAGAACGACTGTCAGAGACCAATCAGATCAGGAAAGAGCCAGTCGGAATGTGTCTTCTGATCATGCAACCCCGAAAAGGTTAACACGGGGTATTTTGAACAACAGTTACTGGCTGTACAACTGAATCTGTCAAAATCATTGTCTGAATTCATTGAAAATCATTGATGAAAGCTTCTGTTTCAGTAAGCAACTTCTATATTACTACTACTTTATTACTCATGACAGATATTGTTTGACTACATTGAAAGGCAAAAGAAATGTCATGTGGATGTATCATGTAAATACCTTTTTTTTCAAATGCTTATATATGTAAGTAAAGACATCTGAGAAAGTCAGCGTTTGACCCACATTAAATTAACAGTCTGGGGAATGTTTTTGCGAATTGTGAATTTGGGGAGGCACCAGAAGACATCACAGCTGGGGGGTTCAAAATCAGTACCTGGTGTGGCCACCACGGGTGTTGACTACAGCCACACATCTCCTGTACATGGAGTGGACTAGCCTGTTGATCAAGGCCATTGGGATATGAGCCCATATCCTCAGGAACGCTACACACAGTTCTGCTGCAATTGTTGGCCTTGGGTGTACGTTGTTGAGTCGCCGTTGGATCTCATCCCACAAGTCTTCAATGGGATTCAAATTCGGACTGAGGGCAGGCCAAGGCATGATTTGGATGTTGTGCTGCTGGAGGAAGTCCCTGGTAACTCTGGCAGTGTGGGAACGGGTGTTGTCTTGCTGAAAGGTGTGGTTTTGATGACGGGCAAAAAAATGCACGATATGGGGTCTGAGGACTTGGTCAATGTAGCGGCAAGCTGTGATGCCATTACCCCTGCCTGGACCAACATTCTGAAAGACCACAGGTCCCACTCTCTGGTTTAGTCCGATTCCACCCCAAACCATGATGCTTGGGCCGCCCCACGGGTCTCGTTCCATAACACAAGCATCAGCATAACGTTCGCCCCTCCTTCGCCAGATCCTGACTCTGCCATCCACCGTTGAAACACAGTAGCGACTTTCATCAGTGAAGATGATTCTTCTCCATTGCTGTTGACGTCAATTTTGATGCTGCCTGGCCCATTGGAGTCGGGCCTGTCGTTGACGATCTCTCAGGATGGGCAGGACAGTGGCACGAGATGTTGTTGGCAGTTAGGCGATGTCGAAATGTACGATCACTGATGGCATGCTGGTGGTTGCCAATGGTTTGCCGAGCTGTTTCAGTGGCCATTCGGAATCGGTTCTGCAGATGTTGGCGTATCATGAACCGATCTTGTCTGGGAGTAGTGACTCTAGGAAGACCACTACGCGGTCGGTCGTCAGTGGTGTTGGTGGTGTTGTGGTGATGTTGCAAATGATATATCGTTCTGACGTTGACATTGAATGCATTTGCAACGACCTGTGCACTCTGGCCTGCTTGCAGTCTTCTGATCGCTTGTTGTCTCTCATTTCCTGATGATCTTGGCATGGCTGATGAATCGAAATAACGAAAGCCAGCTTAACAGTTTTGAGTGTATTTTATACCCGTACCATCCACGATATGCACGTGCATCAGACTTTTCCGCAACTGAGTCCCATTGCACTTTTGTAGGCTGCGTTTGGGCAAAGCACTCATTTTAAACTCAATTGTTAAATGGACTTTAAGGCAACAGAGAGAAGCAGTCGAACGATAAATGAGTTTATTGACCACAGAACATGTAACTGCCAGTGTCTGTTAAGTTTTATCAGTATTTTCAGAAGTGACGTTTCTTTTGCCTTTCAGTGTATATTACTGACACTTATTAAATCTCTTTTCTGGCTTCCAGTGAAACAATGTGGCCGATTGAAGCTCGGTGTGCAGCTATTGCAAACACATACTACAGTGTGGCCATCAACAGAGTAGGCACGGTATGTAAACCGCCCCCCACACACACACACACACACACACACACTACACATCACACACACTCACAAAATACACATCACACACACTCACAATACGCATCACACACATACTCACAGTACACATCATAATAGACATCACAGACACACCCAATACACATCACCCACACCTAATACACATCACACACACCCAATACACATCACACACCCAATACACATCACACACACACTCATAATAGACATCACACACACACACACACTCATAATAGACATCACACACACCCAATACACATCACACACACACAGTACACATCACACACACACTCACAATACATATCACACACACCCAAAATACATCACACACACACCCAATACACATCACACACACACACACCCAGTACACATCACACACACACTCATAATACACATCACACACACCCAATACACATCACACACACACACAATACACATCACAGACACACTCATAATACACATCACACACACCCAGTACACATCACTCACACACACACCGAGTACACATCACACATACCCAGTACACATCAAGCAAGCACATGACGTAACTACTGTGGACACTGTAAACTTGTCTGTCATATTTAAGTGTTAGTCTTTGTTGGAATAAACACGGTGATCTGATTTGCTTTGATCACTTACACAAGCAAGCACATGACTGAACTACTATGGACACTGTAAACTGGTCTGTCATATTTAAGTGTTAGTCTTTGTTGGAATAAACACGGTGATCTGATTTGCTTTGATCACTTACACAAGCAAGCACATGACTTAACTACTATGGACACTGTAAACTGGTCTGTCATATTTAAGTGTTAGTCTTTGTTGGAATAAACACGGTGATCTGATTTGCTTTGATCACATGTCTGCCAACAGTGAGGAGCACAGGTTTCTTCTGTTACAGGAACACTTCCCCAATGAGTTTACGTCTGGATCGGGCCAACCAGGTGAGTAGGCTATTCCATCACAACATGGAATAATTGGTGTTGATGTTAATTCTCTCACTGGACAGGCTTGATGCTAACTTCACATACACCTGTTCGCAGATTCTGAGTATGTTATTTGTTATGAAGCAGACTCAAACATTGGTATGACTTTCTATAATTTGGTAGCTGAAAGCATGGGACTTGCATTGGGCATGTGTTTTTTTCTAGTTGGAAATGATGTAATTTGGCCGAAAGTACAGATCTTTAGAGAATTAGGGTTGTATCGGTAATGCACGGTCTTCATTCCGGTTGACCTACACATGCTGAACACGTGGTTTCCCCAGTCAACTCTTTCTTATCACCCAACTGTTGAGATGTGTAATGATATTAGAGAGTATATTTTGCTTTTTTTCACCAAGTCCCTCCACTATCGTGTCTAATTTATATTAGTAATTGAGGGAAAATGGGAACCCAACAATAAATCGCCCTACATGTCATGTAAAGAAAAGTAGCTGTGTTTGTTCCACCTCTGATTCACATGTTGTGTTTGTCATGATTGTGGCACACAAAACAAGACATGTCTTCCATGTTCCCATTTCATGGATAATTCTTTAGTTTTATTTATGCAACTACAAAAACTGGTGACCAAATTCTAAAGACATGGAGAAGCCCAAGACCAAGCCAGTTGCCCCCACTGATCCCTTCGTAAAATAATCTTACAGATTCTACTTTACCCTCCTTATCGGTGAATGGAGACGGGGTCTCCAACAACTTCCTAACTGACGACATTCCGTTGGAGCAACCAGCAGCCTTAATTGTTCCCTTGGTTCCCTCCAAAGACATACTGCAGATAGGGATCGACAGAACCAGGATCTCGCTCACGCTTTTGACTAGGGTTGAGGCTCTTCATCCAAGATTTGCCATTCCTAGGTTTGATCCCATTCTTATGACTTATGACCAACACAGCTGGATTTGATACCCTCCACATTATAATCGTATCAGCACAGAATACTTCATCACTTCCAACTACTTCAGCTCAACCGACTATTACAGACATGCGCAAAATGCAGTCTCTTACCCTAGGATCAGCCATTCCTACCTTGCCTTCACAATTTCCAATACTGCAGTTGTTATATCAACCGAGCCGCTATCGTCACTGCTTGTACAAGTTTGTCAGCAAACCTTTCAAATTGGTCTTCCTCCCAGGACCAGCGCAGTTCCAAGAATCAGCATTTTGCTTGTTCGGCGTACTTACAAGGATCGATGGACCTCTCATGGTGGGCACACCTCCAAGGTTCGGCGAACATCCCAGGATCAGTGCACAACCAAGGATTACCTCATTATTGGGAATGCTACACCCAGTTGATGGACCTATATCCTCTTTTGCAAGGATACTCTTGCGTGGATATTATGATTTTCCTTTCCGGATTCCCACTCCGGGCATGGATTTTCTTCTCGCAGAGAGTTACCTGATAATTGTCATGGGGGATAACGCTTGCCGTGTTACAATGCCATGTTAGTCACTCGCTGGCATGTAGTCGTTACACTTTGAGCCCCTTGTCAATTCCCACACAGGTCGTTCCTCCTGGATCCGCAGCTCCTGTTTTACCTGACAAGTGTTCGGTGATTTGGCATGCCAATGCATCATTGAAAAATTCTGTACTATTTCAACCATCACTTCCCTTTGATGAAGGAGGACACACTATCAGTTTAATTCTTCACAGGTGATATTTCCTGCCTTTACGATGACCACGGCTTGTGTGTGCAAGGACACACGTTCACCGTCTACAGTCATCCCCCATTCAGCCATACTGTATGGTCATGATTGGTTATTTCTATTGCATTGACATTTCTAGAAAAAGCAAGCTACGTATATCCATGCTAGTTTACTCTCTCACTCACTTACCTAAGCATTGCTTGGATTTGATGATCTTTGTCAGTTTTGAGACATTTTGACAGCCTAGATTGGCATTACCCTTCATTTGCTATTTCATGGTTTCACTGGATTCGACATATTCCTTCCATCTGTTGCTCAAGAAGATTGCCTGCTTATTAACGATCAAGATCGTCAATTTTCCCCCTTTCAAGAAAGACATTATCAAGGTAATGCAAATAATATGGGTTTTGCATCACATTGACAGAGATTTGCCATTTACAAATTATTTACATACATCCGAATTACGGCTGGGACGAGTCAAAATTTACTACCCGGGTAACCACCCCTCTATTACCCGACCCTACCCGGGTATCCACTGTAGGTCTCAGGAGATGTCTCAAAATGTCCGATTGGGAACATTTTTGGCATAGCCCTGGCAAAACGTATTTAGATACATGTATTAAACAATGTGGTCATTCATACACTGAAGTTGAATTAATTTATATCTTTATTCAACCATATAAAAAATCAGAAGGAATGGGTGCATAGTCAGAAAGAAATGCAAACATTAGTGACTTGTAGTGTAGCCATAGAGTTCTTGATACTTTTTGTCATAATAATAGTTAAACAATATATCACGTGACTAGCCATGGGTTTGGGTATTCCTGTGGGTACCCGAGTCCTGCTCAGTACCCACCTGACCCGGGTACCCGAGAGACCCGTCCCAGCCCTAATCCGAATAATTTCGAAGTGTCAGATGTCACAGAGATATCTTTGCTAGTGCACTGCCTTCTACAGGGAACTGGCTGCACATACACCGTTATGTCTTTTCTTCATCTGCTGTACAGTTATTAACTGTTTGTCACATGATAGTGTTGTGTGTGTGAGTTTTTTACCACATGCTGGGCAAGAACGTAGACTAGTTTGCCTGCCCTTGTGATGATTGACGCATTACAAGCTTTGAGTAGCTGTGAAAGGAGTGGATATCAGTCTAGGCAAGGACCAATGTTGAAATAGACATCGGCCTGTCATACAGGTGGAACATTGCGTAGTGCTGTTGTATACACTTTTATTACAAAATGGGGAATTGCTGTCATACAGGTGGAACATTGCGTAGTGCTGTTGTATACACTTTTATTACAAAATGGGGAATTGCTGTCATACAGATGGAACATTGCGTAGTGCTGTAGTGTACACTTTTATTACAAAATGGGGAATTGCTGTCATACAGGTGGAACGTTGCGTAGTGCTGTAGTATACACTTTTATTACAAAATGGGGAATTGCTGTCATACAGGTGGAACATTGCGTAGTGCTGTAGTATACACTTTTATTACAAAATGGGGAATTGCTGTCATACAGGTGGAACATTGTGTAGTGCTGTAGTATACACTTTTAATACAAAATGGGGAATTGCTGTCATACAGGTGGAACATTGCGTAGTGCTGTAGTATACACTTTTATTACAAAATGGGGAATTGCTGTCATACAGGTGGAACATTGCGTAGTGCTGTAGTATACACTTTTATTACAAAATGGGGAATTGCTGTCATACAGGTGGAACATTGCGTAGAGCTGTAGTATACACTTTTAATACAAAATGGGGAATTGCTGTCATACAGGTGGAACATTGCGTAGTGCTGTTGTATACACTTTTATTACAAAATGGGGAATTGCTGTCATACAGGTGGAACATTGCGTAGTGCTGTAGTGTACACTTTTATTACAAAATGGGGAATTGCTGTCATACAGGTGGAACATTGCGTAGTGCTGTAGTATACACTTTTATTACAAAATGGGGAATTGCTGTCATACAGGTGGAACATTGTGTAGTGCTGTAGTATACACTTTTATTACAAAATGGGGAATTGCTGTCATACAGGTGGAACATTGCGTAGTGCTGTAGTATACACTTTTATTACAAAATGGGGAATTGCTGTCATACAGGTAGAACATTGTGTAGTGCTGTAGTATACACTTTTATTACAAAATGGGGAATTGCTGTCATACAGGTGGAACATTGTGTAGTGCTGTAGTGTACACTTTTATTACAAAATGGGGGAATTGCTGTCATACAGGTGGAACATTGCGTAGTGCTGTAGTATACACTTTTATTACAAAATGGGGAATTGCTGTCATACATTACAAAATGGGGAATTGCTGTCATACAGGTGGAACATTGTGTAGTGCTGTAGTATACACTTTTATTACAAAATGGGGAATTGCTGTCATACAGGTGGAACGTTGCGTAGTGCTGTAGTATACACTTTTATTACAAAATGGGGAATTGCTGTCATACAGGTGGAACATTTCGTAGTGCTGTAGTATACACTTTTATTACAAAATGGGGAATTGCTGTCATACAGGTGAAACATTGTGTAGTGCTGTAGTATACACTTTTATTACAAAATGGGGAATTGCTGTCATACAGGTGAAACATTGTGTAGTGCTGTAGTATACACTTTTATTACAAAATGGGGAATTGCTGTCATACAGGTGAAACATTGTGTAGTGCTGTAGTATACACTTTTATTACAAAATGGGGAATTGCTGTCATACAGGTGAAACATTGTGTAGTGCTGTAGTATACACTTTTATTACAAAATGGGGAATTGCTGTCATACAGGTGGAACATTGCGTAGTGCTGTAGTATACACTTTTATTACAAAATGGGGAATTGCTGTCATACAGGTGGAACATTTTGTAGTGCTGTAGTATACACTTTTATTACAAAATGGGGAATTGCTGTCATACAGGTGGAACATTTCGTAGTGCTGTAGTATACACTTTTATTACAAAATGGGGAATTGCTGTCATACAGGTGAAACATTGTGTAGTGCTGTAGTATACACTTTTATTACAAAATGGGGAATTGCTGTCATACAGGTGGAACATTGCTTAGTGCTGTAGTATACACTTTTATTACAAAATGGGGAATTGCTGTCATACAGGTGGAACGTTGCGTAGTGCTGTAGTATACACTTTTATTACAAAATGGGGAATTGCTGTCATACAGGTGGAACATTTCGTAGTGCTGTAGTATACACTTTTATTACAAAATGGGGAATTGCTGTCATACAGGTGAAACATTGCGTAGTGCTGTAGTATACACTTTTATTACAAAATGGGGAATTGCTGTCATACAGGTAGAACATTGCGTAGTGCTGTAGTATACACTTTTATTACAAAATGGGGAATTGCTGTCATACAGGTGGAACATTGTGTAGTGCTGTAGTATACACTTTTATAACAAAATGGGGAATTGCTGTCATACAGGTGGAACATTGCGTAGTGCTGTAGTATACACTTTTATTACAAAATGGGGAATTGCTGACATACAGGTGGAACATTGTGTAGTGCTGTAGTATACACTTTTATTACAAAATGGGGAATTGCTGTCATACAGGTGGAACATTGTGTAGTGCTGTGGTATACACTTTTATTACAAAATGGGGAATTGCTGTCATACAGGTGGAACATTGTGTAGTGCTGTAGTATACACTTTTATTACAAAATGGGGAATTGCTGTCATACAGGTGGAACATTGTGTAGTGCTGTAGTATACAAGAAACAACAAACTCAGTCAGGCTGCTGATTCAGCTCAGACATTTCCCATGCAAAGATGGACAACCCATAATACTGAAGTCACCTTTGTTTCACACAATGGTAATATTATTATAAATTATGATTAAGATGACCTTATTTATATTTTGACAGCTCATAAAGACTTTGGCCACTTCTACGGTAGGTATTTAATCTTGCAAGTTAAAAATAAGGCATCATTTAAAAATTTAATCTGACTGTAGACAGCATCACTTACACAGTGAATCTGTGGCTGACTGTAGACAGCATCACTTAGACATTGAATCTGTGGCTGACTGTAGACAGCATCACTTACACATTGAATCTGTGACTGACTGTAGACAGCATCACTAACACAGTGAATCTGTGGCTGACTGTAGACAGCATCACTTACACAGTGAATCTGTGGCTGACTGTAGACCGCATCACTCACACAGTGAATCTGTGGCTGACTGTAGACAGCATCACTTACACAGTGAATCTGTGGCTGACTGTAGACTGCATCACTTACACAGTGAATCTGTGGCTGACTGTAGACAGCATCACTTACACAGTGAATCTGTGACTGACTGTAGACAGCATCACTTACACAGTGAATCTGTGGCTGACTGTAGACAGCATCACTTACACAGTGAATCTGTGGCTGACTGTAGACAGCATCACTTACACATTGAATTAGTTGTTGACTTTTTAAGTTAAACAATCTGAAAAAACAAAATGATTGCTCACCATTGCATACTCAGAATGTTAAAGCATCTTAATTTTTGGTGAGTTACACCAATGTTTACTGAGCCAGTTTGGATGTCCTTGTTGCAGGCTCGAGCTATGTCGCTGGTCCAGATGGAAGCCGCACCCCGGTCAGTACATTACACTTTAACAATTGACGACTTTGTTTGAAGCTGCTGTTTCACTGCTTAAGCACTTTATTCTTTGATTGCCGAAAGAACTTAGAGAATATAATTACTATTGTTTAAGTCTGCAGTAATGACATTGGGGATGGTGTGTTCCCTGAAAGGATGCTGCTATAGTGAGTTCTGTGTTGCATTGCAGTCACTGTCTCGTACACGTGATGGGTTGCTGGTGACTGAGATGGACCTCAACTTGTGTCGCCAGGTGAACGACAGGTGGAGTTTCAGGGTAGGTTGGACAGGTGAATGACAGGTGGAGTTGCAGGAAGGGTTGGACAGGTGGAGTTTCAGGGAAGGTTAGGCAGGTGAATGACAGGTGGAGTTGCAGGAAGGGTTGGACAGGTGGAGTTTCAGGGGAGGTTGGACAGGTTAATGACAGGTGGTGTTTTAGGGTAGGTTGGACAGGTGGAGTTGCAGGTGGAGTTTCAGGGGAGGTTGGACAGGTGGAGTTTCAGGGGAGGTTGGACAGGTGAATGACAGGTGGTGTTTCAGGGGCGGTTGGACAGGTGAATGACAAGTGGAGTTTCAGGGCAGGGTGGACAGGTGGAGTTGCAGGGGAGGTTGGACAGGTGAATGACAGGTGGAGTTTCAGGGTAGGTTGGACAGGTGGAGTTTCAGGGTAGGTTGGACAGGTGAATGACAGGTGGAGTTTCAAGTGAGGTTTGACAGGTGGAGTTTCAGGGGAGGTTGGACAGGTGAATGACAGGTTGAGTTTCAGGGGAGGTTGGACAAGTGAATGACAGGTGGAGTTTCAGAGTAGGTTTGACAGGTGAATGACAGGTGGAGTTTCACGGGAGGTTGGACAGGTGAATGACAGGTGGAGTTTCACGGGAGGTTGGACAGGTGAATGACAGGTGGAGTTTCAGGGTAGGTCTGACAGGTGAATGACAGGTGGAGTTGCAGGGGAGGTTGGACAGGTGGAGTTTCAGGGTAGGTTGGACAGGTGGATGACAGGTGGAGTTTCAGGGTAGGTTGGACAGGTGGAGTTTCAGGGTAGGTCTGACAGGTGAATGACAGGTGGAGTTGCAGGGGAGGTTGGACAGGTGGAGTTACTGGGTAGGTTGGACAGGTGAATGACAGGTGGAGTTTCAGGGGAGGTTGGACAGGTGAATGACAGGTTGAGTATTAAGTGAGGTTGGACAGGTGGAGTTTCAGGGGAGGTTGGACAGGTGGAGTTGCAGGGGAGGTTGGACAGGTGAATGACAGGTGGAGTTTCAGGGTAGGTTGGACAGGACAGGTGCATGACAGGTGGAGTTTCAGGGGCGGTTGGACAGGTGAATGACAGGTGGAGTTTCAGGGGCGGTTGGACAAGTGAATGACAGGTGGAGTTTCAGAGTAGGTTGGACAGGACAGGTGCATGACAGGTGGAGTTTCAGGGGCGGTTGGACAGGTGAATGACAGGTGGAGTTTCAGGGTAGGTTGGACAGGTGAATGACAGGTGGAGTTTCAGGGGAGGTTTGACAGGTGAATGACTGATGGAGTTTCAGGGGCGGTTGGACAGGTGAATGACAGGTGGAGTTTCAGGGTAGGTTGGACAGGTGAATGACAGGTGGAGTTGCAGGGGAGGTTTGACAGGTGAATGATAGATGGAGTTTCAGGGTAGGTTGGACAGGACAGGTGAATGACGGGTGGACTTTCAGAGTAGGTTGGACAGGACAGGTGAATGACAGGTGGAGTTGCAGGGGAGGTTGGACAGGTGGAGTTTCAGGGGAGGTTGGACAGGTGAATGACAGGTGGAGTTTCAGAGTAGGTTGGACGGGTGAATGACAGGTGGAATTACAGGGGAGGTTTGATAGGTGAATGACAGATGGAGTTTCACGGGAGGTTGGACAGGTGAATGACAGGTGGAGTTTCAGGGTAGGTTGGACAGGACAGGTGAATGACGGGTGGAGTTGCAGGGGAGGTTGGACAGGTGAATGACAGGTTGAGTTTCAAGTGAGGTTTGACAGGTGGAGTTTCAAGGGAGGTTGGACAGGTGGAGTTTCAGGGGAGGTTGGACAAGTGAATGACAGGTGGAGTTTCAGAGTAGGTTTGACCGGTGAATGACAGGTGGAGTTTCACGTGAGGTTGGACAGGTGAATGACAGGTAGAGTTTCACGGGAGGTTGGACAGGTGAATGACAGGTGGAGTTTCAAGGGAGGTTGGACAGGTGAATGACAGGTGGAGTTTCAAGGGAGGTTTGACAGGTGGAGTTTAAGGTGAGGTTGGACAGGTGAATGACAGGTGGACTTTCAGGGGAGGTTGGACAGGTGATAGACAGGTGGAGTTTCAGAGTAGGTTGGACAGGTGAATGACAGGTGGAGTTACAGGGGAGGTTGGACAGGTGAATGACAGGTTGAGTTTCAGGGTAGGTTGGACAGGTGGAGTTTCAGGGTAGGTTGGACAGGTGAATGACAGGTGGAGTTTCAAGTGAGGTTTGACAGGTGGAGTTTCAGGGGAGGTTGGACAGGTGAATGACAGGTGGAGTTTCAGGGGAGGTTGGACAAGTGAATGACAGGTGGAGTTTCAGAGTAGGTTTGACAGGTGAATGACAGGTGGAGTTTCACGGGAGGTTGGACAGGTGAATGACAGGTGGAGTTTCAAGGGAGGTTGGACAGGTGAATGACAGGTGGAGTTTCAAGGGAGGTTTGACAGGTGGAGTTTAAGGTGAGGTTGGACAGGTGAATGACAGGTGGACTTTCAGGGGAGGTTGGACAGGTGAATGACAGGTGGAGTTACAGGGGAGGTTGGACAGGTGAATGACAGGTGGAGTTACAGGGGAGGTTGGACAGGTGAATGACAGGTGGAGTTTCAGGGGAGGTTGGACAACAATTTATTCCAATATTTTAGGCAATGCTTGTAACCATGAATATATAATGGATATCTCCCACATTCACCACAAATGACATGATTTTAGGGTTGACAATTTAATGCTTTTTATATGCCTGCAACCACTACACCCCCATATTTCAGCACCCTACAATTATATAATTCTTGTGAATACCCTACTTCTATTATATCATAGCCACAAATTCCTGTTTATGCTGAGAACCACACTACAAATTTAAATACATTTTCAACAGATGTCCTCTTCACTGCCAACATATCTAATAGTTGTAAGGGAAACCCTATCCCTCGTCAGAGACACCACTGCGCATGTGCAAGGCGGGAATAAACTCACTTCTTTCCTGTGTGTCCAGATGACAACAAGGAATATTTTTGTTTGATACATCTGTACACGTGATTGCTGTTCCACACTTACAAGCCACACTAGATCATCACTAAAGACGAGCAGTGAGCAGTTCTACAAGCAGAGAACAAGGGGGTATAAGAAGTCAGAAGTCTCTAGTAATTAATCAGTAATGAGGACTTCATCCCAAAAGCAGTCACCCGTCTGTTCAGTTTGTGGGCAACATCAAATCACTGGTGACCCTCATCCTAGGTGCATATCGTGTAAAAAGCACTTGCACACAAAATCATGGTGCAGTTATTGCAAACCTTTGTCCAAGGAGAAGTTTGGAAAATTTTCTTAGGCATGGCTCAATGACCCTGACTATAAAAAGAATTGGAGAACGTCAGCAAAGTCAGCGTCAGTCCGTTGTGACACCTATCAAAGAGAATCACGTGGGTGACAAACGAGTGTCGCATGGGGAGGCCGTCTCTCCTTCTGAGGAGTGATCTCGTCGCTCATCCTACTCTCCCAATATAGTTAAGAAACCGATGTACCTTTCAGGTTTTAACGTAACCAGTCACGTACATCCGGAAGTTCAGTGACCCTGATTATAAAAAAAAACACAAGAGCGTTCAGCAAAATATTCATCTGCTTTCTGTACAAAAAGTGATTAAATCCGTTGTGACACCTAAAGATAATCACGTGGGTGACAAGCGAGGGTCACGTGGGGACGCCGTCTCATCTTCTGAGGAGAAGAGATCTCGTCGCTCATCCCACTCTCCCAATATAGTTAAGGTACTGATGTACCTTTCAGGTTTTAATGTAACCAGTCACATACATCTGGAAGCGGCTGGTAATCTAGGCTTGGAAGAGCAAACCGATTTCCACTCTATGCCACGTTTCCCCTTTAACTTAAATGAGTTCACGGAAAAAATATCAATTCCATGTCTGTAATGATTGACAAACGTATGCAATCAATGTCTCATGAAATTTCATATCTAAAAGAATCCGTCGCACAACACGAGATTCAAAAGAGATCTAAGGCTGTATATGACAGAGCATCCTCTCACAGCAGACATGCACGCAGTCAAGCTGAAGCAGAGTATTATGAGGACAGTAGGAGAGTCATAAAAAGAGATCAGGATCTCATAGATCCTATCCCCATCATGCACATCATAGGGTAGATCATGAATCACGGACATCGCATCGCAGTGTGTATTTCACCTTCTAGCCACTGTGTTAGACGAGCTGACAACAAAACTCGTGCAAATCATGATAGATTTCCCAAGCTTGCACCATCCCAGAGTCCAGTTATGCGGGCGGGGAAAGTGAAGTGGATGTTACGTCACAATCATACAGTTATAGAACACATGATTCCCGCTCCGCTAGCCATAGATCAGTTGACCAGGATTATTCTACCCCCAGCCATATGACCTACCCCCAGTGGAGCCTGAGCAGGGGGTGCAGTTTTATCGCTAATACTGGTTCTTCATGCAATGGGGACTCTACTATGCGGGATAATTACAAACCAAAAAATTATTCCATTAAAGACATCATTGAAGAACTTTGTAATCTGATGCCGGCCCTAAAAGCAGATAACAAAGTCAGTCAGAACGGCTACCAAACCCTTGTTAGAACATGCTGGGTATGAAGAACCTATCAGCAAAACTGAAGAATTTCATTCCCTCTCCTGTCCGGCATACATTGATGACGTCATCAAGAAAATCGAAGCATCATTGAACGCTTCATCGGCGCATAATATCAGACTTGGTATGCCTGCTATTAATAAAAGTGCTTACAAGACACACGATGCTCCCTTCGCACAACAGCCTAGTATTGATGAAGCATTTCATGATCTTGTCAAGAAACCTACCATCAGGATGCATGTTGACATGGCCAAAATCAGGGACTTTGACAACATCAATAAACAATGAATAACATCAGTTAATACATTAACTGAGTTGCAGTTGGAATTTGTCACATTAACTGAGTTGCTGTTGGAATTTGTCACATATCCCTCCGACCAATCAGAGTGAAGACCTGCCATTAGATACCCCCATGGAGATGACACTACAGCAGGCCGGGTTTATTCACTGCTCATTGGACCATATGCTGAAGACGTAGGAAGATTTTCAATCAGCACAAGTTTGGATGTCAGCACAGTCCCTGCTTATGCAAAGAAATCATCTGCTGCAGCAGGTTCATCATAAGTTTCAGAGCCGCTAAGAAGATCCATGCTATTGCAACCTATCACAGCTCCACAGATATTCAACGGCAGACTGAAGTCAGTGAAAGAAGCTATTGCATCATCGACGAGTCAGAAGTTTCAAGAAATCCACAATCTCATTGGCATCCAAGATCCAGAAACGGCCTGCAGATTTCCAGCATCAACAACAGAATCCTAAATCTTGTCATGTGAACTCTGGTTGGGATTCTTTCGAGCCTCTACATGGAAGGACAGATCGTTTCACCCCAAGACTCCAAAGATGATCATCCCACTTCACAAAGACGAAGAGGTAGATGCAAAGGAGGTTTCCGAGGCTGATACCACCGGAAATGACTTAACCAGAGCTCAACAGATTTCTTCAGACCCTGCCGACATTGCCTGCCCATTGGACAAAGATTTAGACCTTCAGAATATCAACGCTACAACCACATTGAATCCTGTCAAACTAGCCTGTCTCATAGACATCGATCCAAGACTGCCCAAGTTCAGCACTCCCCCTACTCAAGGACCAGGAGGACCAGGGACCAGTACACATGCAGACAATTGAGAAGCCATCACAGACGACTAATGGCTGCTCGAAATATTCCAGATGGAATCTATCAAGAAGTTGAAGAATGCCTTAAGACAAGCAGATTGGATGATAAGCCTAGATCTCCAGGACACTTATCTTCACGTCCCCATCCATCCAATTCATTGTCAATATCTGTGCTACCCAGTCAACGGTCAGAGATACCAGTTCAGGGTACTTCCATTTGGCATATCCATCACCCCATGGTTATTCACCAGGATCACCAATCCCGTCATTGGCTTCGGCCACCTAAAACTCATAAGGTTACACGGAGATATAGACGACTTCCTATCGACCGATCACTACAAGTCGCAGATCAGATTTGATATAGCGCGCCAGTTCAAATCTCAGAACTACATTGATGGCTAACTCGTCAGAACGTCATGCCCGGTATTTCACTCTCATATCCACCCACCCTCTCTTCATCAACTCTACACAGATGCGTCAGGAGAGGGGTTGGGTGCCCATGTGGACGATATTACCATACAGAGAAAATGGTCCACCCAAGAAAAGTGGTTATATATATACATCAACTGAGTGATATATCTAGCTCTAGAAGCATGACTAGATCGTCTGTACCACTCGTCAGTAAGATTGCTACAGACAACTCGACTGTGGCAGCTTACATACAGCACCAGGGGGGCACAAAGTATCAGCCTTTGTTGTATAGGAGGCTACACATTTATTTGCCTTGATAGACTCAGTGAGTTGCAAGATCAAAGCAAGACACAAACCAAGCAAGTTGAATATCCTAGCAGATTACTTATCCCGGGAAAAACAAGATCGTACCCACGGAATGGTCACTACATCTCGAGATATTCAAGTGGATAATCTCCCTATAGAATACTCCAAACCTAGACCTGTTTGCCACGTGTCTCAACAACAAACTGGAACGGCGGGTAACCTGGTGGTTACTCCCAAGAACCGGGTTCGTCTCCCCGACATGGGTACAATGTGTAAAGCCCATTTCTGATGTCCCCTGTCGTGATACTGTTGGAATATTGCTAAAAGATGCGTAAAATCCAACTCACTCACTCAACAACAAACTACCAGTCTACGTCAGCCCTGTACCAGACACGCTAGCTCTCCAGGTCGACACGCTTTCTGTAGACTAGGAGGAAATGGTCGCTTACGCATTTCCCCCATGGATTCTTCTAGACAGAGTTCTGAAGAAAATAGAAAAGACAGACTGCGTCATAATTCTAATAGCCCCGGCATGGCCAAACAGGGCTTGGTTTCCAAAGTTACCAAGGTTACTACCCCTCCTAATGGAAGAACCTCTGAAACCCCCAATGGCCTATCTATAGGTACACACGCAGTACTGAATCAACTCATGAAGTCTTTTGCACTGGAAGACATTAAAACACCACGTATATTTCCAAAATGGGATCTATCTAAAGTATTGTCAGCATTGATGAAACCACCTTATGAGCCCATGAGTAGTGCAACATTACTATAAGTTTCCAGGAAAACTGTTTTTTTCTCCTAGCCATGGCCACTGTAGCTCGTGTATCAGAATTACACTCAATCTGACATGTCCACTGTAACTCATACCCAAATATGGAAATCAGTGTCGTTCAGATCACTTCCTGATTTTATTGCCAAAAACCAGTCATCGACTTTCGGCCGACTCGGAGCAGGCAATATACGATACCAGCCTTAAGTAAAAGTGTGGACTATCCGGACAGATTACTTTGTCCCATAAGATCCTTGAAATACCTAATTACAGATACTCAACCCCACAGAAAGCAGAGAAAACGCATTTCTATCTCTTGCAAACACTCGTCAGAAAAGGACATAAGCAAGGGTACTTTGTGGGTGGCTCAGATCGGCGATTGTCGATAGTTCAAACTGGCACAAGTCTACACACCAACTTGGGGAAGCTGCAGACCTCAGAGATCAGAGCTCATGCATCAAGTCTAGCCACATGGAATACAGTCTCCATTGAACAAGTCGTAGCTAGCCACAAGTGGAAGTCCCATAACACGTTATCAAACATTTACTCACGAGACATACAGACTGATCTGGATGCACTATACACACTGGGACCCTTGGTGGCAGCCCAGGTGATAGTCTCCAAGGAGCCTTGCCACCCCTTCTTCTCTCATGAACTTGTGGGTGTGTGTGTGTGTGAAGATTTCAGAATACCTCATGAACTCAGGATAAGTTGACCTTGTGTACTTAGTTTGCTATTGGATAGTAGACAAGTGGCAACACTGAAATCATAGATCGAAAGAATACAAGTGATATACGTTTCTACATGATAATCTAGGATGTATGATGTACTACCACCGGAAGTGACGTCATGGGAGACCTCACGTCCGAACTAACGTCAAAATACGTTAAAAATCACTATCCAAAAGCGCATAACGGAAATCATAGAAGACATATATCGAAAACGAGGTCACTGAATGACAACCGGAAGTGACGTTACAGGTGATGTCATCACTGGAAGTGACATCATAATATGTCTAAGTATCACAATTGTGGCTAAATATACATATTATATTCATAATATGATGTTTTCTCTATGTCTAGCCTTGAAGTTAGGTCATTAGACATATATACCATTTGGTCCGTTTTGTATACAATCCTTGTATTCCCACTTCACAAAAGCCAAATATCTAAGGGATGCCAGATACCGGATCCCACCGGTACCTCTGGTGTATACTGGCTAGGATGTAATAGAGGTAGGGGATTCACAAGAATTGTCTAACAATAGTTATCATTGTGTATAATTCTAAGAATACTACCTCTATTACATCAGGAATAAATCCCTCCAACCTCCCCAAATATCTGAATCTAGTTGATGAGGGTCATGGGTTGAAAGAAGTGAGGTGATTCCTGCCTTGTGCATGCGCAGTGGCGTCTCTGACGAGGGATAGGATTTCCCTCACAACTATTAGATACGTTGGCAGTGAAGAGGACGTCTGTTGAAAATATATTTAAATTTGTAGTGTGGTTCTCAGCATAAACAGGAATTTATGGCTATGATGTAATAGAGGTAGTATTCTTAGAATTATACACAATGATAACTATTGTTAGATCACTGTCAAATACTCTAAGTCTTGATATTACTGAATACCGTGGACAAGAAGTTTCTAACTTATCAGCTAAGTCATTTAATAAAAATGAAAACAACTTTGAACACAAAACATCCCCCCTGTTGTACACACACATTGCAATTTCTGAAGATATTAGATTGTATTAACACATCATTTAACACTAATAAATGGATTTAGTAAACCTACCATTATCAGCCAGACTGCAATGTGTTTTCTTACACATCAAACCAAACCTGTAATCTATTATTCAAAACTGAAACAAGTTCTTTACTGAAAATGTTCAATTGTAAAGCTGCCAAAAGACAGAACCAAAACATTCTTAGGATGTTAGTGGGATGATTTTAAGATGTTTTCCTAAAATACACTGTTTAAATGGAATTTTAACAAAACATAACAAAAAGATGTTCAAAACATTGATTTTTAAAATCATTTTTGTGCCTATATAGAGGGTAGGTAATCATTGACATAGAGAATTAGTGTATATTTATTTGTTGTTTGTTGGGTAATCAAACTGTTCCAAAATCTGTTGTTCCACATGACATTAGGCTTGTGTAGGATGTGTGGAGGAGAAGTGGTGAGATGTGTTGTGTGTTATTGCAGATGACCCAGAGGTTAGATATGTATCAACAGGAGCTGACAGAGGCAGTCAAAGATGATTATGTCCCCAAAGTCATCAAGGAAGCCTAGGTGATAATACATACACAACATTTGAACCTGTCAATAAAATCTTGATGTTTATAGAATCTCAAGCTCATGTATTTTGATATATCCCCAATGAGCAGTATGTGGAGTATCATGTATCTCCTCTGGGTATCATGTATCTCCTCTGGAGTATCATGTATCTCCTCTGGGTATCATGTATCTCCTCTGGAGTATCAAGTATCTCCTCTGGGTATCATGTATCTCCTCTGGAGTATCAAGTATCTCCTCTGGGTATCATGTATCTCCTCTGGAGTATCATGTATCTCCTCTGGGTATCATGTATCTCCTCTGGAGTATCATGTATCTCCTCTGGGTATCATGTTTCTCCTCTGGAGTATCATGTATCCCCTCTGGAGTATGTAGTATCTCCTCTGGGTATCATGTATCCCCTCTGGAGTATGAAGTATCTCCTCTGGGTATCATGTATCTCCTCTGGAGTATCATGTATCTCCTCTGGGTATCATGTATCTCCTCTGGGTATCATGTATCTCCTCTGGGTATCATGTATCTCCTCTGGAGTATCAAGTATCTCCTCTGGGTATCAAGTATCTCCTCTGGGTATCATGTATCTCCTCTGGAGTATCATGTATCTCCTCTGGGTATCATGTATCTCCTTGTGGTATCATGTATCTCCTCTGGAGTATCATGTATCTTTGGGGTATCATGTATCTCCTCTGGAGTATCATGTATCTCCTCTGGGTATCATGTATCTCCCCTGGGTATCATGTATCTCCTCTGGGTATCATGTATCCTCTCGGGTATCATGTATCTCCTCTAGAGTATCATGTATCTCCTCTGGGTATCATGTATCTCCTCTGGGTATCATGTATCTCCTCTGGGTATCATGTTTCTCCTCTGAGTATCATGTATCCCCTCTGGAGTATGTAGTATCTCCTCTGGGTATCATGTATCCCCTCTGGAGTATGAAGTATCTCCTCTGGGTATCATGTATCTCCTCTGGAGTATCATGTATCTCCTCTGGGTATCATGTATCTCCTCTGGGTATCATGTATCTCCTCTGGAGTATCATGTATCTCCTCTGGGTATCATGTATCTCCTCATGGTATCATGTATCTCCTCTGGAGTATCATGTATCTCCTCTGGGTATCATGTATCTCCTCTGGAGTATCATGTATCTCCTCTGGGTATCATGTATCTCCTCATGGTATCATGTATCTCCTCTGGAGTATCATGTATCTCCTCTGGGTATCATGTATCTCCTTGTGGTATCATGTATCTCCTCTGGAGTATCATGTATCTTTGGGGTATCATGTATCTCCTCTGGAGTATCATGTATCTCCTCTGGGTATCATGTATCTCCCCTGGGTATCATGTATCTCCTCTGGGTATCATGTATCCTCTCGGGTATCATGTATCTCCTCTAGAGTATCATGTATCTCCTCTGGGTATCATGTATCTCCTCTGGGTATCATGTATCTCCTCTGGAGTATCATGTATCTCCTCTTGGTATCGTGTATCTCCTCTGGAGTATCAAGTATCTCCTCTGGGTATCATGTATCTCCTCTGGAGTATCAAGTATCTCCTCTGGGTATCATGTATCTCCTCTGGAGTATCATGTATCTCCTCTGGGTATCATGTTTCTCCTCTGGAGTATCATGTATCCCCTCTGGAGTATGTAGTATCTCTTCTGGGTATCATGTATCCCCTCTGGAGTATGAAGTATCTCCTCTGGGTATCCTGTATCTCCTCTGGAGTATGAAGTATCTCCTCTGGGTATCATGTATCTCCCCTGGGTATCATGTATCTCCTCTGGGTATCATGTATCCTCTCGGGTATCATGTATCTCCTCATGGTACCATGTATCTCCTCTTGGTTATCATGTATCTCCTCTGGAGTATCATGTATCTCCTCTGGGTATCATGTATCTCCTCTGGAGTATCATGTATCTCCTCTGGGTATCATGTTTCTCCTCTGGAGTATCATGTATCCCCTCTGGAGTATGTAGTATCTCCTCTGGGTATCATGTATCCCCTCTGGAGTATGAAGTATCTCCTCTGGGTATCATGTATCTCCTCTGGAGTATGAAGTATCTCCTCTGGGTATCATGTATCTCCTCTGGGTATCATGTATCTCCTCTGGAGTATCATGTGTCTCCTCGGGGTATCATGTATCTCCTCATGGTATCATGTATCTCCTCTGGAGTATCATGTATCTCCTCTGGGTATCATGTATCTCCTTGTGGTATCATGTATCTCCTCTGGAGTATCATGTATCTTTGGGGTATCATGTATCTCCTCTGGAGTATCATGTATCTCCTCTGGGTATCATGTATCTCCCCTGGGTATCATGTATCTCCTCTGGGTATCATGTATCCTCTCGGGTATCATGTATCTCCTCTGGGGTACCATGTATCTCCTCTTGGTTATCATGTATCTCCTCTGGAGTATCATGTATCTCCTCTGGGTATCATGTATCTCCTCTGGAGTATCATGTATCTCCTCTGGGTATCATGTTTCTCCTCTGGAGTATCATGTATCTCCTCTAGAGTATCATGTATCTCCTCTGGGTATCATGTATCTCCTCTGGGAATCATGTATCTCCTCTGGAGTATCATGTATCTCCTCTGGGTATCATGTATCTCCTCTGGAGTATGAAGTATCTCCTCTTGGTATCATGTATCTCCTCTGGAGTATCATGTATCTCATCTGGGTATCATGTATCTCCTCTGGAGTATCATGTATCTCCTCTGGGTATCATGTATCTCCTCTGGAGTATCATGTATCTCCTCTGGGTATCATGTTTCTCCTCTGGAGTATCATGTATCCCCTCTGGAGTATGTAGTATCTCCTCTGGGTATCATGTATCCTCTCTGGAGTATGAAGTATCTCCTCTGGGTATCATGTATCTCCCCTGGGTATCATGTATCTCCTCTGGGTATCATGTATCCTCTCAGGTATCATGTATCTCCTCTGGGGTACCATGTATCTCCTCTTGGTTATCATGTATCTCCTCTTGGTTATCATGTATCTCCTCTGGAGTATCATGTATCTTCTCTGGGTATCATGTATCTCCTCTGGAGTATCATGTATCTTCTCTGGGTATCATGTATCTCCTCTGGAGTATCATGTATCTCCTCTGGAGTATCATGTATCCCCTCTGGAGTATGTAGTATCTCCTCTGGGTATCATGTATCCCCTCTGGAGTATGAAGTATCTCCTCTGGGTATCATGTATCTCCCCTGGGTATCATGTATCTCCTCTGGGTATCATGTATCCTCTCAGGTATCATGTATCTCCTCTGGGGTACCATGTATCTCCTCTTGGTTATCATGTATCTCCTCTGGAGTATCATGTATCTCCTCTTGGTTATCATGTATCTCCTCTGGAGTATCATGTATCTTCTCTGGGTATCATGTATCTCCTCTGGAGTATCATGTATCTCCTCTTAAGTATCATGTATCTCCTCTAGAGTATCATGTATCTCCTCTGGAGTATCATGTATCTCCTCTTGGTATCATGTATCTCCTCTGGAGTATCAAATATCTCCTCTGGGTATCATGTATCTCCTCTGGAGTATCAAGTATCTCCTCTGGGTATCATGTATCTCCTCTGGAGTATCATGTATCTCCTCTGGAGTATCATGTATCTCCTCTGGGTATCATGTTTCTCCTCTGGAGTATCATGTATCCCCTCTGGAGTATGCAGTATCTCCTCTGGGTATCATGTATCCCCTCTGGAGTATGAAGTATCTCCTCTGGAGTATCATGTATCTCCTCTGGAGTATGAAGTATCTCCTCTGGGTATCATGTATCTCCCCTGGAGTATCATGTATCTCCTCTGGGTATCATGTATCTCCTCATGGTATCATGTATCTCCTCTGGAGTATCATGTATCTCCTCTGGGTATCATGTATCTCCTTGTAGTATCATGTATCTCCTCTGGAGTATCATGTATCTTTGGGGTATCATGTATCTCCTCTGGAGTATCATGTATCTCCTCTGGGTATCATGTATCTCCCCTGGGTATCATGTATCTCCTCTGGGTATCATGTATCCTCTCGGGTATCATGTATCTCCTCTGGGGTACCATGTATCTCCTCTTGGTTATCATGTATCTCCTCTGGAGTATCATGTATCTCCTCTGGGTATCATGTATCTCCTTGTAGTATCATGTATCTCCTCTGGAGTATCATGTATCTTTGGGGTATCATGTATCTCCTCTGGAGTATCATGTATCTCCTCTGGGTATCATGTATCTCCCCTGGGTATCATGTATCTCCTCTGGGTATCATGTATCCTCTGGGGTATCATGTATCTCCTCTGGGGTACCATGTATCTCCTCTTGGTTATCATGTATCTCCTCTGGAGTATCATGTATCTCCTCTGGGTATCATGTATCTCCTCTGGAGTATCATGTATCTCCTCTGGGTATCATGTTTCTCCTCTGGAGTATCATGTATCTCCTATAGAGTATCATGTATCTCCTCTGGGTATCATGTATCTCCTCTCGGTATCATGTATCTCCTATAGAGTATCATGTATCTCCTCTGGGTATCATGTATCTCCTCTGGAGTATCAAGTATCTCCTCTGGGTATCGTGTATCTCCTCTGGAGTATCAAGTATCTCCTCTGGGTATCATGTATCTCCTCTGGAGTATCATGTATCTCCTCTGGGTATCATGTATCTCCTCTGGGTATCATGTATCTCCTCTGGAGTATCATGTATCTCCTCTGGGTATCATGTTTCTCCTCTGGAGTATCATGTATCCCCTCTGGAGTATGTAGTATCTCCTCTGGGTATCATGTATCCCCTCTGGAGTATGAAGTATCTCCTCTGGGGTATCATGTATCTCCTCTGGAGTATGAAGTATCTCCTCTGGGTATCATGTATCTCCTCTGGGTATCATGTATCTCCTCTGGGTATCATGTATCTCCTCTGGGTATCATGTATCTCCTCATGGTATCATGTATCTCCTCTGGAGTATCATGTATCTCCTCTGGGTATCATGTATCTCCTTGTGGTATCATGTATCTCCTCTGGGTATCATGTATCTCCTCATGGTATCATGTATCTCCTCTGGAGTATCATGTATCTCCTCTGGGTATCATGTATCTCCTCTGGAGTATCATGTATCTTTGGGGTATCATGTATCTCCTCTGGAGTATCATGTATCTCCTCTGGGTATCATGTATCTCCCCTGGGTATCATGTATCTCCTCTGGGTATCATGTATCCTCTCGGGTATCATGTATCTCCTCTGGGGTACCATGTATCTCCTCTTGGTTATCATGTATCTCCTCTGGAGTATCATGTATCTCCTCTGGAGTATCATGTATCTCCTCTGGAGTATCATGTATCTCCTCTGGGTATCATGTTTCTCCTCTGGAGTATCATGTATCTCCTCTAGAGTATCATGTATCTCCTCTGGGTATCATGTATCTCATCTGGGTATCATGTATCTCCTCTGGAGTATCAAGTATCTCCTCTGGGTATCATGTATCTCCTCTGGAGTTTCATGTATCTCCTCTGGGGTATCATGTATCTCCTCTGGAGTATCATGTTTCTCCTTTCGAGTATCATGTATCTCCTCTGGAGTATCATGTATCTCCTCTGGAGTATCATGTATCTCCTCTGGAGTATCATGTATCTCCTTTTTTCTGTTGCAGATTACCCTTGTTCGAGACTGCAGGCTGGGTGCTGGATTGATAAACAGATGCAAATTAATTTAATTCTTACATTGTCAGCAGTACATAATTAATACAACATGAGTGTTACTGTCATTCTTGACATAGATCTGACACTGGAGGTTAAATCTGCAAGAGATGTTCCAAGATTTGACAGATAAGTTCCACGTTAGCTTCACATGTAATGAAGGAATGTAATATTTGCCTTCTCATGTAGTCTTATTTTCTCACTTTTCTGTATACATGTGTACAATTTATCATGTTTTTTCTCAAATATTGATCTGCAAATCTAAGTGATAGTCATGTAAGTACTCCTGACTAACCACCAGAAGATTGTACTGTATGCTGTGTTGTGAGCTGTATTGCATGGGCAGAAGGGACAGGGGTGGGCTGGATAGCAGGTCAGAATCTGTCTGTCTGAGGTGAAATGGGGTTTGGTGTCAAGATTATTGCACTTATATAGTGATATGTGTGTGTGTGTGTGTGTGTGTGTGTGTGTGTGTGTGTGTGTGTGTGTGTGTGTGTGTGTGTGTGTGTGTGTGTGTGTGTGTGTGTGTGTGTGTGTGTGTGTGTGTGTGTGTGTGTGTGTGTGTGTGTGTGTGTGTGTGTGTGTGTGTTTTTTTTTTTTTTGATAGTGCTGGCCCAGTGAAATACCATGCCGCAGTTTAACATGAATACCCCACTCAGACACAGTATACTGACTCAGATCTGACCACTCCATGTTTCAGCCCCTAAATGCTGAGCACCATCTTTCACATCTTTTGGTATAACAAGGCTGGGAATTGAACCCCTGACTTCCTGTTCTCCGAGCAGTTGCTCTATCCACTAGACCAAAGAGGTGGTCAACTACATACTGTAGTAAGGGAGATAGTATAGCTTGATGCTTGGACACTCATTTTGTACTACTGATTATTGCAATAATGTGTCATTGATTCTACTCTCAACTTATGATAAGCTTTTATTGAAGATGATACGTTGATTTGCAAATAATTATGATGTAGCATATATACAAAAATATATTAGAGGAAGCATGTTTGTAATGCATATATACTCATCACCAAAAGTTCTATGTGGATTGCTATAACCACAAGTATATTAGTGAAACAGCCAAGCGCTGTCATTTTGAAACAGCATTATTTGGAAGCATGTCCATATCAATAAAGTATGGTTGTGGAAACTATAATCCCTTGCATTTTGTGGCTGATTGATGTGTTCACAGGGAGCAGACATGAAGACACCTTAAAAGCAGTATTATCTGTTACCTTACTCCCAGAATACATGTCACCCTGTGACTGGTCTCAGTAGTCAGTGTGTCCCCTGCACCCACAACCTTTCTGACATCGTATCCTTATTTCAGCTGTTGGTGTGCGTCCATTAACAGATATTGACACCCAGTAACTACAGAATAATAACATTGGAAACACCCACACACATACGTATTCATACAATGCAAACTTTGATTTCATTTTAACATATGTCCATATTCCGTAATCAGTGATGTATGACATCATTACCCTTCTCCTTCCACAAAGTGAACAAACAGTTGCAGGGCGATGATAACATTACATTATGAACATGGACCCTAGTTACATTGGGTATTACAAGCACAACTACCAATTTCTGGGAACTGTCATCACTTGGCATGATGCACTATTTGTATAAATAGAGACATGTGAATTACCCCTACGCTGTTGGTGACTCTTGGATGCTGAAGCTCTCCAGGCAGTTGCCATATGTGGTAGCTACGCAGCTATCAGCGTACTCTATATGTGTATATAATCAAACGGGATTAAATATGTTGAATATAATACAATTAGAGCTTTACATCAAATATCACTCAATCCTAACATAATCACCATATGCTATTATGCAATGTTTGATGGTGAATACGAATCCTGTATTTACACAATCATGAAAGTCAACGCATTCACTCAAACATAAAGACAGAAACGTCACAGAAAGGCGAGAAGCCTTTAACATGTATACTTAGCCCTAATGATTTAATTAATAACTTCGCAGTGTGGCAACATGATCACCATATAATACGTAAACATTTAAAGATACTGAACTTATATGAAACATTACTTAGATTAGATAAGTTATATTATTATAAAAGTACATAGATGTTGACCAGCAGGTCTACACTTTACTTACCTAGACTTCATTCAGGACCTGTAAAGTGTTTCTGATGTATCAGCAATCAGTGAAAAATGTTTTCTGTCCTCATGAATTGCGATCAAGTATTCATAAATTTCCCCGGAATTTAGAGCAATGTTTAGCAATAAGATCATTTGTGACTGCTACAGTAAAGAAACACGACCCATCACACTACTACCGTAAATAAACACCACCCATCATACTGCTACAGTAAAGAAACACCACCCATCATACTGCTACAGTAAAGAAAGACGGTCCATCATACTGCTACAGTAAATAAACACCACCCATCATACTGCTACAGTAAAGAAAGACGGTCCATCATACTGCTACAGTAAATAAACACCACCCATCATACTGCTACAGTAAAGAAACACGGCCCATCATACTGCTACAGTAAAGTAAGACGGCCCATCATACTGCTACAGTAAAGTAAGACGGCCCATCATACTGCTACATTAAAGAATGACGGCCCATTATACTGCTACTGTAGAGAAACACGGCCCATCATACTGCTACAGTAAATAAACACTACCCATCATACTGCTACAGTAAAGAAAGACGGCCCATCATACTGCTACAGTAAATAAACACCACCCATCATACTGCTACAGTAAAGAAACACCACCCATCATACTGCTACAGTAAAGAAAGACGGCCCATTATACTGCTACTGTAAAGAAACACCACCCATCATACTGCTACAGTAAAAAAAGACGGCCCATCATACTGCTACAGTAAAGAAACACGGCCCATTATACTGCTACAGTAGAGAAACACGGCCCATCATACTGCTACAGTAAAGAAACACCACCCATCATACTGCTACTGTAAAGAAACGCGGCCCATCATACTGCTACAGTAAAGAAACGCGGCCCATCATACTGCCAAAGTAAAGAAACACCACCCATCATACTGCTACTGTAAAGAAACACCACCCATCATACTGCTACAGGAAAGAAACACCACCCATCATACTGCTACAGGAAAGAAACACCACCCATCATACTGCTACTGTAAAGAAACACCACCCATCATACTGCTACTGTAAAGAAACACCACCCATCATACTGCTACAGGAAAGAAACACCACCCATCATACTGCTACTGTAAAGAAACACGGCCCATCATACTGCTACTGTAAAGAATCACCACCCATCATACTGCTACTGTAAAGAAACGCGGCCCATCATACTGCTACTGTAAAGAAACGCGGCCCATCATACTGCTACTGTAAAGAAACGCGGCCCATCATACTGCTACTGTAGAGAAACACGGCCCATCATACTGCTACAGTAAAGAAAGACGGCCCATCATACTGCTACAGTAAAGAAAGACGACCCATTATACTGTTACAGTAGAGAAACACGGCCCATCATACTGCTACAGTAGAGAAACGCGGTCCATCATACTGCTACAGTAAAGAAACACCACCTATCATACTGCTACAGTAAAGAAACACCACCCATCATACTGCTACAGTAAAGAAAGACGGTCCATCATACTGCTACAGTAAATAAACACCACCCATCATACTGCTACAGTAAAGAAAGACGGCCCATCATTCTGCTATAGTAAAGAAAGACGGCCTATCATATTGATACAGGAAAGAAACACGGCCCATCATACTGCTATAGTAAAGAAACACCGCCCATCATACTGCTACTGTAAAGAAACACGGCCCACCATACTGCTGCAGTAAAGAAAGACGGCCCATCATACTGCTACAGTAGAGAAACACGGCCCATCATACTGCTACAGTAAAGTAAGACGGCCCATCATACTGCTACAGTAGAGAAAGACGGCCCATTATACTGCTACAGTAAAGTAAGACGACCCATCATACTGCTACATTAAAGAAAGACGGCCCATTATACTGCTACCGTAGAGAAACACGGCCCATCATACTGCTACAGTAAATAAACACCACCCATCATACTGCTACAGTGAAAAAAGACGGCCCATCATACTGCTACAGTAAAGAAAGACGGCCCATTATACTGCTACAGTAAAGAAACACCACCCATCATACTGCTACAGTAAAAAAAGACGGCCCATCATACTGCTACTGTAAAGAAACACGGCCCATTATACTGCTACAGTAGAGAAACACGGCCCACCATACTGCTACAGTAAAGAAACACCACCCATCATACTGCTACTGTTAAGAAATGCGGCCCATCATACTGCTACTGTAAAGAAACACGGCCCATCATACTGCTACAGTAAAGAAACAACACCCATCATACTGCTACTGTAAAGAAACACTACCCATCATACTGCTACTGTAAAGAAACACCACCCATCATACTGCTACTGTAAAGAAACACGGCCCATCATACTGCTACAGTAAAGAAACAACACCCATCATACTGCTACTGTAAAGAAACACTACCCATCATACTGCTACTGTAAAGAAACACCACCCATCATACTGCTACTGTAAAGAAACACGGCCCATCATACTGCTACAGTAAAGAATCACCACCCATCATACTGCTACTGTAAAGAAACGCGGCCCATCATACTGCTACTGTAAAGAAACGCGGCCCATCATACTGCTACTGTAAAGAAACGCGGCCCATCATACTGCTACTGTAGAGAAACACGGCCCATCATACTGCTACAGTAAAGAAAGACGGCCCATCATACTGCTACAGTAAAGAAAGACGACCCATTATACTGCTACAGTAGAGAAACACGGCCCATCATACTGCTACAGTAGAGAAAGACGGCCCATCATACTGCTACAGTAAAGAAACACCACCTATCATACTGCTACAGTAAAGAAACACCACCCATCATACTGCTACTGTAAAGAAACGCGGCCCATCATACTGCTACTGTAAAGAAACACGGCCCATTTTACTGCTACTGTAAAGAAACGCGGCCCATCATACTGCTACTGTAAAGTTAGACGGCCCATCATACTGCTACACTAAAGAAAGACGGCCCATTATACTGCTACAGTAGAGAAACACGGCCCATTTTACTGCTACTGTAAAGAAACGCGGTCCATCATACTGCTACTGTAAAGAAACACGGCCCATCATGCTGCTACAGTAAAGAAACACGGCCCATCATACTGCTACTGTAAAGAAACACGGCCCATCATACTGCTACAGTAAATAAACAGCCCATCACACTGCTACAGTAAAGAAACACGGCCTCATCATAACGGCCCAGTAACCTGTGTATGGATGTGGACCGTCGCGTGGGTCATTACGACCTTATGCAATCATGACACAAGTTGAGGTATGTGGATGAAAAAGTCGTGTGAAGTGAAGCTAACACTTGAAGACTGAGACATCTTTATCACAAGAGTAATTAGATTTGTGTCTAGTTGCATGCAATTGGATCCGACATTGTGTCATATTCGTTTGCTTA